TCACTGCCGCAGCTGTGGCTTGAGGCAGGAGGTCTGCGAAATGGCACAAGCAGCCCTCAGCTACACAGATTTAGATTAGGCAACAGTTTTATTTCTGGTGGGACTATAAATAATGATATTTTGTAAACATTCTCAGCTCTCATCTCTTGAAATTAAAGAGAATAATCATCATTAGCATTCAACTAGCATTCAGCAAATGAAGCCATTTTCTCTAGACTTTTCATCCTTAAAAATTTCTGATGTTGGAGTTATTTCTACAATTTTTTCCCGTTACTTTGTCACTCTAAACGTTGATCTTTTTGCCCTCTAGTGGTGGGAATGCTTCTCCCGGTCCACCTTGCCACTAATCCCACACGAATTTTGCAACACCTGTTCAGTTTCATTAGGATTTTCTTAGTTACACAGGTAGTACTGCCTCCACGGGGGAGATGAACCACAAGAAGAGATTGCAGAATTATGTCTTTGAACCCTAAATCTCTGATATTTTACTGAAGATTTAGGTCTAATGTAGGACACTGGTGCTCCACCATTGTGCTTCCTTCAGCCTTAAAGGATGCGTAATGATTTTCACGTAGCTGGATTAATTACTTTTTTGATCTGGCAATATCCCCTGCTTTACCTCATAATCATGGATCTGGACATGTTTCCCCAGAACAGCCATCTCAGTGTCACGGTGGGGCTGCTGTCAGTTAATGGTACTATGGAAGTGGTGGCACCATTCTCTACAAGTAGGCTAGTGAGCACAACATTTTTTTAAAGCTTCCAAACCTGGAACCTTTACACATGCATCTCCCACACTGGTCAAAAGTGCTTCTTTTCTCTACAACATGGAAATTTGCCAATGGCACTCTTTTCCCCTCCACAATTAATTTTGGTGGCCTACATAGAGTACCAAAATTAAATATTTTAAGCAGAAATCATGCCTTCAGGACAAAGAACAATAAACTGGGCATGTGAGGTAATCATTAATCTCAAACATGTTAGTCAAGTTACCATAAAATAAATGTTGTTCTCATTTACATAAGCATCCCAGTCTAATTAGGGGAAGACAGGACTGCAGAGCTACTGGGATGCCATGTAAGAGGAAACTTGCAAGCATGTCCAAAACTGTATGGAACTGTGATCTCACTGGAATTAAATACAAATTCTGCCAACACCAATAAAAATCATGATTTATTCTGATAAAAAACTGGTATCAGAACAAGTGAGCACAACTGGCAATGAATACTTACAGAGGTAAGGCCTCGTTTTTAATTTCCATATCAGAACAGTCAGGTTCTGTAATTGTTTCCAGCTGAAGCAGTGGGAGCAAAAGACCTAACTACTTTTAATCTGGAGCACCATCTGTTTAGGAAAAGGATCATTAAACTTAGCTATGATGGCAGGAGGTTGTCTCGATGACCCAGGAGGTCCTTTATAATTGTACAACACCTGCAGATACCATACTTGAACATAAAAGTTCAGTGACCAAAAAAAAGGCGTAGTCAAAGCACAACTACAACAGACTGGCAGAAAGCATTATATTTATTACACATACGTAGAAAGGATGATCATGTTTTACTTTCTCCCAACAGCTACCTTTTTTCCAGGGAAGCGCAACCCATTTTTAGGTGCACCACAATGAGCTGCATTGCTGCATCCTCTGGGATTTAGGAACAGCAGCCAGCCTTCAATACTCGGATTCTGTCACACAGATTAACTTGTTCCCCCAACACAACTGTGCTCTACAACAGTTGGCTATTTACTGACCAACTGGTGACTATTTTATTTTCCTAATTTATCCGCAATTTCTTACACAAGCTGAAATGGTAAACACACAGAACCACTGCCATTGGATCACTGGAATCAATTTGAAAAGATAAAAACAATCTGTCCTTGGATGCTCCCTTCTCTACAGGTTAATGCGTCTCTGAACATTAAACTTCAAAGCCCAGAAGTACTTTAGAAGAGCAACTGAATAGTTTTGAGCCTGTTTAAGTTTACCACAGCACTTGGTGACGTTGAGGACAAGAAAATGTAGGGCTTTTCTAACATTTTTGCACTGCAGCATCCGCCCTCCCCAAAAAAGAAAGAACACATCTTTTGATGTTTTGAATTCTTTATGGCTTTTTATAGCACCAGAGTGCCAGAGCAACTTATCCTCATTTTTGATCTCTCATAAAAAGAGAGAGAGTTTGGTATTAATTTCAATAAAGCTTTAACTTTTCACAGACAATTTCAAACTTTAAGTTTAAATACAATCACTTCATAGGTATCTCTCCCTGTTGATGTCCAGGTATTTCAGTCACTGTTAAAATACAAGAATTATTTCTGGATGTTTTTAGAGAAAATTACAGAAAAAACGTCTGGTTATTGTAACCAGCAGAAGCTGCAGCTGTGAACAAGGAGATGCACAGAGCATTCAGTTGTGCTACTGAACAGCTCAAAACAGCAGCAAAAGCACATTTTGAGAACAAGAAGTAACTTAATAACAGAACATGAGTGCACATTAAGAAGTTTTTTTTTCTATTTGCTTAGCTGGCACCGATACAGTAGAACTTCTCTTAACTTTCTTTAAAGAAAGTCAGTTTTAAAACTCTTTAAAGAAAAAGACCGAATCTTGATGATGGAGGGAGAAGAGCTACCTAAGGCCATTCACACATGTAGTTTGTTCAGTATTTGGGTAAAACCAAGTCTAGACCAAACTCAGCAGCAAAACTGCCATCGCCTTTAATGAATTAACAACTAGTGGCCCATTTTTTATTATTATTATTATAAGTCTACTTATGTGTAAGCATATTTGCATCTTATGCTAATTACAAAGATCAAGAGAGAAATTAAAGAAAAATGAAAAAGGGTTAGCATTATAGTACTGTACTTTTGTTAAAACATAGCTGTTAGCACACCCGTGACTTTTAGGTTAGCCCAGAAAGACTGGTATTTGTCTTCTGGTTTACTTGCAGTTAAGAAAAGATCTTCATTAGGATATATGGTTTGAATGGGTTAAAGGATAAACGCAATGACAGTAACAAATACCTGTATCAGATAAAGTTAGCGTAGCACCCAGAAAGGCATAATCAGGGCTGACTCAAGATCACGTTAACCTATTATAAAATTCCATAAATGCCAGAGAACACAGCCTTTTCTACTGCGAAGTCAGTTTAAGAATATAACCGTAACAATCATTGGTGAAACAAGTTGTTCAAAGGGTTGCAAGAATAAACTAACCTGATTCTTTTTAATCAGTTGATTATTATCCTGATGCTTGGTTTAGTTTCCCTGAAAGATAAAACGGGATTTGAGGAAGGAAGGATCATTGGGAGATACAAATGCACTTGGGTCAGAACTCACTGCCTGGGTCAGAACTAACGCAAGTAGCTTTAAAAAGTACTCAGACCACAAAACTACCAGGGAATTCCATCAACAAACCTTGTAGCAGAAGAAAAGCTGCCACTTCCACTGTCTACTTTTGAAGATACTTAATTCTGTAAATCTAACCAATCTTTTAACATCAGTGAGTTAGTGATACACACTTAGAAGCCAGAACCTGAAGCACAGATACCGTATCAAATGCTTTTCTGACCTTTAGAAGACTGAAAATGGGACATGTTTTCTTGTATAAACTCCTTATTTTCCACTCACACCTCTATAAAAAAAAAGTCAACCTTTCTTTCCATGTCCCCAAACTGTCTCTCTCTTTGAACTCAAAACATTCCATACATATGTTACACAATACATTGATTTATCTTACATTAAGCAGTTTCCTTCCAGCAAGGAAGGAACTCAGTAATCCACTTGTCCTAGGATTTATTCTCATATTCCAAACTGTGGAGCAACAGTAAGTAGACGCTAAATATTCTTTTAAGGTAAACTGACAGAATACTGTTTTTTCCTCTCCTAAAAGAGGTAAATATATGTATTTAAAAAAGTAGGTAAATCAAACTGGATGAAAAAAAAAATACACAAAATAACACTACTGTCCTTTTAAAATAGGTAAAGGTAAGGGAAATATCTCATCTGAAAAACTAAAAATAGCCTAAGTAATTTCAGAGTCAGCTATTATTCCCCTGGAATATCATGACCTTACTGGCTATGGTTATGTAAGTGATAATAGATCACCTAGATGTATTTTTTTTCACTTAAACACAAGCAATTTTATGCAAAATTTATGTTAGACTGATCTTTCTGCTCTCCTTTTTACATTTTAACTCTCACCCATGGAATTTACAATGCCAGAATCTAAAAGACAGATTTCACTGTGACCTAGCACACGAAGTGTTGTACACGTGTTTCAGATGTGTGGCACGACAAATAATAGCGAATGGCAGACAGGTGTTGGTTGGTTTTTGTCCCCCAGTCAAGTAGAAGAGAGCCAGATCTCATTCTCACCGCAGGGAATGCAGCACCTGCAGTGTGCCAGAGCTGCTCAGCAGCCACAATCGCAGCCTGGGACCCCTTTCACTGCTAGGCAGCCTTCACACAAACACAAAATAAAACTGGTGTTTACAACGGGATATGGCAGGAAACACTTCTTTAACCACCGTCCTACATTCAACTTTTTTCTTTCCTCCTCTGAGGGCTCAGTTGCAATTCGCAATGTCATCTCACTAAATTTTAAAGGAAACAATTCCAAGAGAGACACACGGTTCCCATGTATCTGTCTCTCTACATGCTGTTTTCTGGTACATGTACTGAGTTCCTATTTAATAGGAACATTATAAAGGTACCTGAGTTGTTCCTCAGCAGCTTTTCAATCACTTGAGTTACACTGGAACAGCTGCAGATGGTGCAAACAAACCAAACACCAATTTCACTGAATCCAATATACCTTAGTGTCATGACCACTTAAACTTAGATCATCTAGTAGCCTAATATTACACAATGTTCTCCAATTTCTTTGAGCACAAGCCTTCGTGATCCTTATTTTCCTTTTTACAAAATTTAAGATAAAAAATACATCCTCCCAGAGCATACTTGAACAACAGAAGCCAATGTGTACGGCAAATAAATGTTGCAAGCAGTAAGACCTCAAAAGTGCCATTTCCTTTTTTAATTGGACCACCAGTGTTAATACCACTGACATCGCATTTTACATTTTCACAAGGTCAAGGACAAATAAATCCAGATAGAACCCAAAGCCCAATGCTGCATATCTAATTCACCTCATCTTATTAACGACACCCTCAATCAAAGCCCCAAGAGAGCTCACATAAAACCTTTCTCTACGTAGCAAAGTTCCTCAAGAGCAAGGACTTTGTCACATTATTAAACATCCTTAAGAACAGTCTCCCATGTTGTATGGAAAAACTTCTCAGACAGAATGCATACATTCATAAAAAATGTACTTTTGTTGTTCAGGAAAATGACTGAATATTAAGCTTTATGTAAAAGGGAAAGATTACATTCATTTTAAAACCGTATTTAATTTGAAAATTGCATACACTTAAGACAAAAAACTGAACCGAATTTTGCTTTCTGAAATGCATCCATATTTGCATGAAAGCCACTAATTCTTGAGAGAAACTAGAAGCGGCCTGTATTATCTAGTTACTGCTGATAGCCTTTTCAGCTGTCCACCCTTGTTTGGGTTTCGAGTAATCCCAAGGTCTCCTGTTCTCTGTATACCCATACAGCTTCCGCAGCGCCACGCGGGCAGCTTCTTCCTCTGCCGCAAGCAGCGTTTCACCAGGGCCTTCAGCGATCATCTTCTTATCACTTGAAAAAAAACAAACAAAACGTTTTCACATTTTCATCAAAATCCTGAGCACTACTGTACATCATGAATAAGAGCTGTTAGATATTTTTTCCTCCACTGTCAGTGACTGCTGAAGGTAATTTCTACGTACACACACGAGTGTCAACATTTCCGTTGGCCTTTCCTGCAAAGATAAGCGATCAGATATTCAGCAGTAGAAACTCCGATCAGAAAGACATCCTCTTTCTGGAAGAACACTGCTTTGTTCACTTAGACTCCTAACACATTACTGATTGTTCACAGTGTTCAATTTCTGCTAGCCCTGTTAAAAATATGCAAATTTGTTATTCTGGTCAGCTTAAACAAACATTCTTTTCTCCTCCCCTGGTAAGAAAGCATTTTAGGAATTCTTCTGAAGGATTCACAGAGAAGTTCTCTGTGTTAGGAGTTATGTATTCAGCTCTGTTTAATCAACATCTATAGGCACTGAATAGGGGCATTTCGTGGAGGGACACAAGAGATTCCAGGAAAAAATGCAAAGTTCTTTTTTTTTTTTTTTTTTTTTTATATATATATATAAGATAAATCTTAGAAACCAAATGAACTGAAGCAGGGTAATTCAGAACAGGTTAAGGCAATCTTCCCAACTGCTCATCTGTAGCTCATGTAGCAAAGCAACACCATGGGCTAGGAGGCAGGAGATCCCACCCTGCTCCAGAGGAGCGATGTTTCCACCGGGCAACACACCTGGGCAGACCCTGACCACGCTCACCAGGGCCACCTGGCATGTACGTTTTGTCTGGGCAGAGACACTCCTCTTGCTTGGTTTCTAATGCCATGATTTGACCCCTATGTAAAAAGCTCTAGAACATAACGTTAGCATTTGTTCAGCCCCTCCGCCCTTGGTATCTCTTAATCTTGACAGTTTTCTATCTTGACTCTCAGGTGCATCTCGTTTAGACTTCGAAGCCCTTTAGTCCAAGACAGTTTTGTTTTTTACTACAGCAAGGCACTAACAATGCGTAAGTGGTTGATTTTAGATGGAAGTCACTGCACGGTTTCTTTTCTCTAATAACTTGGCCAAAGAACACAAGTAAAAAAGTAAAAAGACCATCTTCCCTCCTTCCCTCCCCCCGAGCTTAACTCCATTTCACTTTGCATTAGCATTGTACTAACCAGTACAGCCCAACGAAGTACAGAGGAAGAACTGTGGTGACTCCCAGCTGCCTTGTAATTCTTGGCTCTGGAGAAGAGATGTTCCTCTTGGTCAACTCTTCCACTAGTAAGCCCATGGGATTTACAACTTCCCAGATCTCAAACAGATCTTTTCCAATCAGATGGGGCATTAAAAAATCCTAAACAAAAAAAAAAGAATTAGAAGTTACAATCAGTGGGAAAGGGAACAAAGGCTTTAGCTTCTATGGTCTGCTAATAAAAATGCAATATGAAGAGGCACTAACGCACTCGACAGTGAAGAGCTGAAAGGAATGATCAGCTCCACACCACAGCCAGGCAGAGCCATCCGTGTTACTGAGCTCAGCAGCACTGGTTCTGCTTCAGCCTTGCACTGGACTCACGAGGAGGTGCCCATTCACATGTAAGGAAGGAGCAGCATGGGCCTGGGAGAGGCTGACAACACCCCCGTGCAGCTCTGAGCACCAGACACACCACTCAGCACGTTTAGCACGAACAAACCCCAAGCTGTACTTCTGGAGGGCTCTGCAAAGAGGCTGGAGCCACCATACAGCCCCAGAGGATGTGCATTTGATCTGATCACTGCTCCTACACAGCCCCTGGACTCGTTTCAGAAATCAGGTTCTCACAAACATTCCTCCATTGCAAAAATAGAAGTAAGTGAAAAGGACACCTGAAAGGGCAGCAGCTCCTAAAACTACCTTGTTACACTGCATTTTAGTTGGACTTTCTTGTATGAAAAGATGTTTAGGTGTTTGCAGCAGCAGCTTTATATTGAATATAAATACATACTGAAAGCTATACGATATTCTTTAAAACTGAAGAGGTGTGTGAGCTGAGGTGGAGTAGTTCCATTATTTGGTAGGGCAGCATAGGTCTTTAAAAGACGTTTAGATGTTGAACTTAGCGATATGGTTTAGTGGAGGACTTGTTAGTGTTAGGTCAGAAGGTTGGACTCGGTGATCTTGAGGTCTCTTCCAACCCAGACAATTCTGTGATTCTGTGACAACTTTCCTCTAGCAAGTGGCAGCAAGTATTATAACACCACCGCTATAAAGCACCGTAAGTACATCACTTTATGCATCTGACCAGCCTTTTTTTTTGAACAAACAAACAACAACCTCTCTGAATCCCTGCCATCACGGGACATGCCAACATACAATTTTTGCCCTTTTTTTGTAACTTTCGTGGCCCACAGATGCTATGACGCCTTTTATCGGTGGAAAAACAAACAAATCCCCCCAGGCTCCGACTCACCCTGAGGAAGATGCCCGTTCTCTCGGGCCCGCTGCTGCCGAGCAGCGCTCCGACGACGGCGAAGAAGGTCCTGTGCAGCACGGGCGGCGGGACGGGGAACTGCGCGCACAGCGCCAGGTCCTGCAGCGCCAGGCCCCGGGACACCTCGGCGACCAGCTCCGGGCCCGTCAGGAAGGCGACGAGCGCCGCCGTGCCCGGGGCGGGCAGGGCCGGGTGGGCGGCCTGCAGGCAGCGCCCCAGCTGGGAGCGGGCGAAGGGCAGCCCCCGCGCACACAGCTCGCCGTTGTCCCGCAGGGCGAGGGCAGCCGCCCCCGCCTCCAGCCCCAGCTGCCGGCGCCTCGCCTCCTCGCTCTGCACGTAGCAGGGGTTGACGAAGGCGGTTTTGAGGAGGTCCAAGGAAAAATCCTCCTGGAGGCGGCGGCTGAAGGCTTGGATCTCCGCGTGGTAATCCCAGCCGGGCTGCTCGGACCTGCGGGCACCAGAGCACACGGTTAGGAGCCGGGGCGGCCGCCCAAAGGCGAGCCCGGCTCGTTCCCGCGGGCCGCGACCGCCGCTTAACGCCCCCGGGGCTCCCCTTCGCGAGCGGGCCCGGCCCCGGCCGCCCCTCACCGCCGCCGCGGGGGCGCCTCCAGGCGCTGCTGCTCCAGGTAGGCGCGGAGCCACCGCTTCTTGGCGCGGGGCGGAGCGGGGCCGTGCGCGGCACGAACGGCCCCGGGCCCGGCCCCGGCCGCAGCCAGCAGCCGCCGCGACGCCCTGAGGAGAGCCCCGAGCCCGGCCGCCATGGCGGGGCGGAGCAAGGAGGCGGCACGGCGGGGAAAGGCGCCCGGCCCTGCGCGCTGCCGGCCCCGAGCGGCCCTGCCACAAACGGTCCGGGCGCGGCGGGAACGCTGAGGGGCGGCTGACAGGGCTGAGGGGGGAGAGCCGCCCCCTGCCCCCCACCGTGTTAGGAACTCATTTACCACACAAAGTCTTTTTTTTTTTTATTTTTTAATTCTCGTAAAAGAAGCTCCATTTATTTATTTTCTTCCCCTGTTACCCATACATCTCTTGGAAACACACAGTAGTTCCCATCCTCCTTTACAGCAGGCTTAAGGTAGCGCAGCTCTCGCTTACAGTCGGTGGTGTAGAATTAATGAAAGTACCGAAAATGTGCACAGCAGGCCTTCCCTATTGTCTTTCACTAAAAGACAAAGGCATTCATGGTACGAAAAAGCACAGCAAAGCCAATGGAGGCATGTAATACAAGATGAACAAAGCTAAAAAAAATAAATAAATACAGGGAACAGCCAAATTTAGATGATACACAAGGAAGGAGGCATAGCAACCCACACAAAGCCAGTGCAAAAGCTATGTAATAGCAGATAGCGTGCCCTGCTTTACTTGTGGTAGTACATGAAATGTGCGAGCGCAGCCTTCCTCACCCAGGCCTTTACAGGCTACATCTGTGTCCAGCTCTTCTCGTGCCCAACAACCTGTCCTGGTGGTCATCTTCCAGGGGAAGAAATCTCAGCGGCTTGTGCCATCCAAACATTTGTATCTTGGGCTCCCAGCTCATACACTCTCCCAGATAAATACTGTGCAAATCAGCAGTCAGTCATAAGCAAAGTCAGATACTGCACAGCTGCATAGAGGACTTTGATATGCATTTACCATCTTTGCAGTCTTCCAGGATGACGTCCCATTCACTACAGCAGAGAAGAGCAGGCGGGGGCTCCTCAGTCACTTTATGTCCCAGTGTGCCGCCACCCTAGTTCTGCCAGCTGCCATGTGGAAGGGGAGCGGTGCTGCCACACCAAACCGTACAGCTGGCAGCTGCACAGAGCTGCGGGGCACCTTCCCGGCCTGTGGGCCAGTGCTCCCTGCGGCTGCAGGATGAGCCAAGGACAGTGCTCAAAGGGGCCCCGTGTCATCCACTTCTGCAGCTGCTGTGCATCATTATCTCTCACCAGTCTGTGTACTTGCAGAGCCCAGAAATGGTCCTGCAGAGTGGTCCCAGCTGTTCCAGGAAAGGTCCCCTCTGAAGCATCTTTTTGATGTCACTGCACTTTCTCCCATGCAGCGGCGCTGTTAGGAGGCTTCACACACACCCAGGAAAGGGGCTGTGGCTGCTACAGCATTGCACAGAAGTGGCAGCCATACATTGCCTGGCAACACCAACACACAGGTCCCCTTCAGCAGCACAGCACCATGCACCATCCTCCCTCAGAGTAGCCTGGCAGCTACCAAAATGGTGTGACTCAACCAGGGATGTTTGAACTGAGGACATGAGGACACCAGGCTAGCTTCTCATACCTATGTACTCACCACACACACCAAGAACAGTCAACACGCAGGGCCTGGTAGCACTGCAGCAGGCTGTATGGTGCCCTCCTGCTCCTTTTTGAATTGTTCAGACCATCACAGCCACTTACTCCAATGCCTGCTAATTTAGATAACCCCTTAAATAAACTCTTAAAATAACAGTAAACAATGCTTTTTTTTTTGTTTTATTAAATACACTACATTGGTATCTTGTACTCAATCTTTTGTTCACTCACAGACTGACTTGCTTAAAAATGTATTTTATAGAAAAACATCTGTAAAATTAAAGCTAAAATAAAAAATACATATTACACACCTCTGGACAGTCTGCATGTTAGCAAAGACCACCTTTTATTATTTGACCTGAACATGTGCTTAAACAAGGAACACACTCATGAAACAGGACACACTCCTTGAATATGGCACACCTCTGAAACTAGGCAGACTAAAGGAAAACTAGTGCAGTGATGTTTAATTGCATCTAACAACAGAACAATAAAAACTACTTTTTATTCTTTTTTTTTCCCCCCAAACCCATTCCATTTCTTCTCTTCCCACCACAAGAAAACATCCAGTAATTACTCCTGTAGGTCACTGTCCTTACATTGCATGAAGCAAACTTCATCTCAAAATCAGCTGATCCATATTTACATTGAAGCATGCAAAGGAGGATACTGCAAGTATCTGCAATGCAAATCTATTAAATACAGTATAACTGAACAACAAGGTGTCCCTTTAACACTGCAATTCTACAGCCTTTTTCTGTGGTGGTAGTTTCCAGTGTATGAATTATAAAACAGCATACAATTCAGAAACAGAAACAAAGAATTCTGCAAATTTTGTTTGTATTTTCAACTATTAAGTTTTCTGGGAGAGCTGTGTCTAGCGCCGAAACCAAAGCCAGCTATTGAGTAGCCAGAAAGCTACAGTAATTGAGTACATAATCATTTCCCGCTTAGCACGCTCTTTGTTTTCTTCTTCCAGAAGTTGTAGACGCCGATTAAGTTTGATTATCTAGAAATAAATAAAAGCTTTTAATACTTTAAAATTGCCAGACTTTCTAGAAGCTTCTGAATAAGCATCTTAGTATAATAGTGGGTTGGATTTTAAACAATTGACATCGTGACTTTATCTTCAACTGCTAGTGAGCAGACCTTTCTATTCCTGATAAGTCGGGGGTCAACGGAATTGGGCTTTCCAGATAGCGAGACCGATACAGATTTCTAAAGGCAGTCCAGCAGGGCTACAGAGAGGATTCCTCACCATACTTGTTATATGGCTGCCCTACCTCTGCAGCCATACCATTATATTACAAAAGACAACCTGCTTCTCCATTTTACCATTACAGATTTTTCTTAATATCAACGCCTATGCTTTACTTACCTGTCTTCTTAAGGAAGCAGCATCTACAACAGTCATGTCATCTGGTGTTCCCTCAAGCGTTGTATCCATGTTGGAAAGACCGTATCTATCAGGTTAAAGAGATTGCTTAGTCCATAATAAGATTAGCAAGTACTGTATTTTATGAACATTCGAGTTGATATACTTTTTGCTGGTGATAGGCAGAAGAACTATAAAACTTCTTAGCTTTTACAGAGTTGTATAACTCAATTGGATCCTAAATGAATAAAGCACAAAGACATATGAAATGGGTACTTGACTGAACCTGAGTGTATCGTTCTCCACATTTAAATATTTTTTGAAGATTCTCCACATCAACAGACTTCATGCTGTCACTTGGTGTCTCAAAATACTACTTCTAGTTATTCAACTGAGTAGTGAATGCTGAAAATTGCCCAAGCTAAAATACTAAAATTGCAATGGATTTGAACCAACCAAATGAAGATTTGGCAAGAACTGGGTGTCTTATGCTCAGTACCTCTTCAAATATCCCACAAGAAAACCTATGGAGGTTAATGATCTCAGTCACAATAACCGTAGCATTTTAGGTGAGACAGAGAACCTTGCAAATGAAGAATTAGGTAGTCGGTGCTTGCTGAACTCAGCATACATCAGAAAGAAGGCTGCTCTCAGAACACCTCTCAATCTTCTTGATGCAGTGATTCAGAGAAAGCATTATTCTAACTTCATGGGCAAGTTATTTCAATACAGCACAATTATTAGTTGGGAGGGGGCAAAAAGTCTACATAAAGTATGTGATTTGATCATCCAAATACTACATCTTACCTAGATTTTTTTTCCAACAACCAACAGATAAACTCCTGATGCCATACCTACCACTGAGTTTCTCTCTTCCTATCTTAAAGTCTCAGTTTCCAACATTAATTCTCCTTGACTTAACCTGCTTTGTCATGAGGACACATGAACACCTGCTGCAAACAGCTGAGGATATCGAACAAAATACATGTCAAAGCTACCAAATTGAAAACACAATACACCTAAAAGAGCGTTTACCATTTCATGACATAGTTATTGGTTAACTTTGACTAACATTTGAATACAAGCAGAGTTCCTTAAGCTCACGGAATGCACTTAAATTCAGATCCTATTTTTGTACCACATGTTCTTCCATCATTTTTAGCAGGTATCTATAGCATGAATGAGCTAAGGGCATTATCTCTCCCCACACCCCATACACCATTTGTCAAAAGTTTTCCTGCCCCATTGTTCAGTAATATATTGCTTCTAAGAGTTGTTGTTTCTAAATGACAATTGCATTAGTCTGGACTTAGGAAACAATGAGATCATTGAGCAACACTGCATAAAGGAAATTAGTTTTTAATCTGTGGTTTTGGGGGGTTGAAGGTTAAACAGGTAAAAGGAAACACTTCTCTAGGTAAGATCAGGGTAAAAACAGGTTTTAGTAAAGAAATATTTGATTAAGCAACTGTCTGTCAAAGTCAAAACTGTTTCAAAAACATGGTATGAGACAAGGTTTTGGTAACTATGTTAGCCTTAATGAGTTTTTTTTTTTCTATTTTTTAATATTCTAAGGACACTAAGCATTCATTTCAATATAGTTTGTGTTTACACTACTTATTGTTCTTTCAGTTTAGGCACTATTAAAAAGATTGAAACTTGTTATTTGCTTAGTTCTGTGAAGCTCATATTGCCATTAACAAGTTATTTTAAAATAAACTTAAGTTCTTGATAAAACAATACAAACATTCCTACTCAAAAAAAGGCCTAAAGCTCTGCACAAAAAAATCAAGTTTCATTTTCTACCATGATTTCAAAGCCAAAGAAGTTTCTGAGGATGGCCTTTCGTAGCCTCTTTTTTTTTTAAACAAACAACAACAACAAAAAAAACACTTATAGAAGGTAAAAAAAAAAAAAGAAATAAATTAGAAGATCCCACCCACAGCATCTCTTGGGGAAAAAGAGAAGAGGCTCATAATTTCAACGGATAAGCATGTCACAAAAAATATTAAGTCACAGGACATCACTGCTGCTCTACCAATTTCCAAACAATTCCAAATATTAAATCAAGAGCATCACCAACAAGAAATCTCTTGGACCATGACAAAAACTGAATTCTCAAGTTAGAGCTCAAGAACCACCTCCAATATTTACTGAACTATAAGCATTATCTCCACTTTGATGAAAACAGAAGTATAGTGCAAAACGGACACAACAGATGTGGAAATCCCTTAATCCTGACCACGACATAACACATTAAATTTACATCTAATTCCACTGAAGTGATATCAATCTGAAAGAATGGCTGTAAAAACGTATCTAGCTACAACTAACAATCATAGGCATGTCTGAGAACACCTGAAAAAATAACATGGTTCAAGGCCAAATTTTCCAGCAATAAAATAATGAAACTCAACCACTACTAATTAGGAAATACCCAAAGTATCCTGCTAATGAAATTTAAAAGCCTCCAATTGCACATACATTTGAGTCTGAAATTCAGCAGCATGTTGTATCCACTATGTAAGTGAGGTCTTGCAAATAACTTGGATGGGTAAGGAACAAGGGCCTAAGATACCTCAAGAGATGAGGGGGGAGGATATGAATTAGCATCATTTATAAAACACAGGAACACTCAGAAATAGGGGAATGGAAATCTGAATTTTGAAATCTAAACTAGTGGGTCATGACTAACAAAAAAAACACTCTTTACCTGGTGTTGTCATGATGAGGGTTAGAGGAAGTGGTAGCAGCTGACCCACCACGTAACACTGGCCTACAGCAGGAGTTTGTAGATAGAAAGCACAAGACGGAAACAGGAAACGACAAACAGAGATAAGAGGTAAAACACAGAACAAAAGAACATCAAAATACTTCCACTTATATTGTATATTATTTCAACACAATATAATACCTGTATATTTTATTGTGAATTGCACTTTCATATTTTAATTAACACTAAGTGTATGCAGCTAGGATCTGTAGGTAAGTTCTTGATGGTACAGCTTCATTTATGGAAGATTGGAACAGAGGTTTGGGAGGAGGTTATCAATCTTGTAAAAGTAACGATGGAAGACATTTTAAAGAGTCTCCCCAAAAACACAAAATCCCAGGAAAAAAAAAAAAGTTATCTCCACATTTACAGAACAGAATAGCTCAGTTGATTGGGACCTACAGATTTTGAGTTCAACTGCCTGACCACTTCAGGCTGACCAGGAGTTAAGGCATGTTACTGAGGGCACTATTCAAATGCCTCAAACACTGGCAGGCCTAGGGCATCAGCCACCTCGCTAGGAAGCCTGTTCCAGTGTTTGGCCACGCTCAGCAACCGCCTCTAGTGCCCACCTGAACGTCCCCTGATACAGCTTTGTGCATTGATGTGTCCTGTCTGTGGTGACAGGGAGCAGAGACCCGCATGTCCCCCTCCTCAGGGGAAGGCAGAGAGCAGCAAGATGGCCTCTTGGCCTCCTTCTCTCAAACCCTGAAGAGCCTCTCCTCATAGCACAAGCCTTCCAGGCTTATAAAAGCTTTTTTAGCCATCTTCTCCTCTCTCTAAGAGAAGTTTTTTGTCTTTTCTTTATTCATCTATGCTAAATGTAATTCAGAAAACCTGGGCTAGTAGCATAAGGACCATTTATAAAGGAGTGGCAGATCGCTCCAGGAAAAAGCGACTAAAAGCTTCAAGTAGATGCTATGACTTCCCTGGAAGTACCGCTCTTTCAGATTTCCCTCCCTCCTTTTCTTTTTTTTCTCTTCTTCAGCAGAGAATAAAAGGTTAGAGCTTTTTAAGTTGCTACAACTATATAAGCAGCAGCCTGTCAGGAAGCAGCTGCCATGTCCCAGAGCACAGGAACACCAGCAGTACCTTCCGACAAAGACAGCACTGTGCATTTCAGTGCCTCTTGTAAGGAGCCATTACTGTTCCACAGCTATGCTGGGTAACAAACAGAAAAAAGATTTCAGGCTTTTGAACGATTTCTCCCATTTTCCCAATGCCAACAGCAGGTATTTGAACTGTGCACTGAACCAACGTATGCTCCAGCCCCTAAAATGAAAGAATCTGTGGACGAAGGCTGTTCTGGGTTGGAGGCAGAGGCTTGGTGCTGAGATGGCTGGGAGAACACTGTGGCCTGACCTGAAAACGAGCAAACACTGTGCAAAAATACCACAACCACTTGTTCCACTTCAAGATTCAGGGTCGAGGAACCTTAGCAAACTCTGCTACCCTGTGCAAGACATACTGGGAGGAGGTCCTGCTCTAAAGAGCAAAGTGTTCCAGTTACAGAAGATGTATATACATCTGTAAAGTTAAAAACAAAGTCCCATTGCATACCATCATGTTTTCCTGTCTAGCACAGAAGCCAGCATGATATATTTCACAAAAAAAAAATCTCAATACACACAATAAATATTCTTACCCAAACAAATGAGGTCTTTCAAAAAAGTTATCAAAATTGGTATTTTTATTTTCTAATCAGAGAAATAACTCAGCTAGTTTGAAGTCCTGTCTGTCAGAGGCTGTAACTTAATACTTGGAGACAACACAAGGAATTCAGCAAAAAGCAGCTATGGAACAGGTCACAGAGTTTCTCAGTGACCATAGCTGCCTGTAACTGGCAGATAAGCCAACAGCAGCTTGTCAGCATTCAGCATGCATTTTCCATGCTATCTAACAAAGGACAGCAACATTTGAACTTTGTGTCATGAGAACAACAGATCTTAAATGTTCTCTCAGCTCTTGGCCTCTGTGGTAAACTTCAGGTTTCAGAGATGTTGTGGAACTAATCGATACTAACCAACCTACGCTGCCTTTACCAAAAAAAAAAAAAAAAAAAAAGCCACAGGTCTGGAGGTGGCCGAGTGCTGCAGCAAAGAACAAAACTAGGGTACTGTGGGTTCTGTCCAAATCGGAAACTTGATCTAAACTAAAGACAAGCCTTTAATTACACTTCCCAACACAGCCAGGCTTAGTTAAGCAGCTGCACATGGCTTCCTCCTTTTTTCTGCAGCTCACATTTTTATTTCTTTACAGGAGCACCCAAAAGGTTCATCAGAATATTCTCCTGCCTCACCCACCCTTCCTACTTGCTCAGTTCCAAATATCAACAAAAAGTTTACTACCTAGATAACAGTGACCTCTTAACTGAGATTGCCTTAGCCCAGAATCAGCAGCAAATTTTTAGGTAAATACAGTATGCACAACTATAATATAGTCAAACTATTAAATACATGACCCTCTGAAAAGGAATATATTAAAAACTTTGTTTTCTGGCTACTTCTGTCCACTCCAGCCTCAACATTACACATGATCAGAAGCAGCCTTAACCCATGTATACTCAGCACTTAACTATTTAACTGCAAATATAATTGCAGCCTAAAACATGAAGGGAATGAACAGTAATGCACTTTAATAACAGTGGGAAAACAGGCAATAACATAATGACCAAATTAATCTGGTCTGTCTTCCTCTGCTTAGAGCAGAGTATGTAGTGGAAATACCATGGAAATGATGCAATCGGAATTGGGTTTGGGAGGAAAACAAGAGGTGTGGATGATCTAGGTACCTGTGTCCAGCTTTCATCACTTGCGCACCTGAGACTGAGGCCAGCACGTTCTTTGTTCAGTAGGGGCAGCAGCTATGTTGACTGCTCACTGTACTTTTAAACTTCTCTGGAAATCTCAGAATGACCATAAGAACAGGCCCTAGGACTTTATGGATGTGATCCAGATGTGAACTGGGTAAGAAGCTCAGCTTCTAAAGTACAGAATGGATTTGGGCACAGAGCAATCAGTGCCTAGGTAAAACTGCTCTCCCTGCTTGCCTCAGCACTACAATTACCTATCAAAGCTGTAGGTTTGTGTTTCTCACGGGCTCCTTCACATTTGCAGACCATTTCATTTGCTTCTGAAATGCATTACTCTCATCCAAAGTCATGTGTAATAACTTCCATGGTCTTAACTCACATCTTATTTTACTTCTGCCACAAAAAACGTCATTAACACCCTCAATATAAAACACGATCTTGCAACACCTCAGGAAATGATTATGTGGGTGAAGATTAGCACTTAAGGAGGGCTGTGGTTTTTTAGGAAGGACTGTCCTGAAGAAAGGGTACAGTGATGAACTTTCATACTTCTTTCTTCTTAATACAAAGTTACTGGTCTAAGAGGTAAAGAGTAGTTCAGATAAAGTACAGATATTAAGACAACTTTATTCTCATATGATAATGTCTTTTTACCTGCATTTAAGACATTACTAAAATCCCTAAATACAGTTTTTATTTATTGCTTAAAGGACTGATCTATGTAAGATCAGTCTTTTAAAGACCAGTGTTTGGCCCTACAGTCATTTCATAGAAATTGAAATGGAAAGAGGGTTAGAACTGGGAAGCAAAACTGACCTATTGTCCTTGTCCAAGCTGAAGAAAATGCAAGAGTAAACAGCATAAACAGCAATCATTAGGTTGTTGCCCATTTGATTAACCTATCATGCCAGCAATGCCAACCAAACCAGGCATAATTCATCTGCAGCAGATGAACCAGCACCTACTGTTAGCAGTTTTAGTAGATGGAGAGCTAATTTTGAGAGTTTTTTGAAAAAAGCAAGCCATGAAACAAGTGAAAACTATGTCTAGTGAATAGCACAAGTCAGATCTTGCTCATTTTAATAAGTGATCTCTTCTAGTCATAAGCATAATATTTAAAATAGATAACATTTTCAGATAGAAAGCACATTATATAGAGCAAAAGAACAGAGTGCAGTTTCAAACAATTTAAAATAAAGAATATTTTGCAACCATGCAAGTGGATCATCCAAATTTCACATTCCTACGCCAGCTGTAGAATAAGTGGGTATCTAAACACCCAACCACGAAGAATACACTTTTACCCTATTGATTAGTTCATTATTTTGGCAACATTCATTCATAGGTGAATAGCACCAGTTTCCTGTTTCTTCTAAGAAGTTTAGTAAGTATAAATCAAAAATTACCCCAAACCAGGAAGAGTAATGCAGCTTTTGAAGTATTCAGAACCCTAGAATTTTTCTGGTAACTAAGGTAAGATGAAAAGATATGTATGAATATGTGTATCCAAGAAAATGTGGGCAAGAACACGCCCAATGGAAGCCAGGAATAAATCCCACCAGCTTCACTGCAGACTGGGAAAAGGGCTAGAATTTCACTTAATTTTAACAAGGACTTTTGGCACAACACACAGTGCTGTTATTCAACAACAGCTGAATTCCTCCTTATCTAGGAGCTTTAATTTTGTAAAAAGAGAAAAAAATATTCCATTTGATCTTTTAATATTGACAACTGAAAAAAAAAAAACACAAAATTATCCAACTGTGGACATACCACAGTTTGCTCTTTCATAGAAATCAGTGGGGGTTAAGCACCCAACTCAAGTTCAAGGAGAACTAAGCATTTTTTTTTTTTTTGGTGCTATATAGATATATTATTTTTAATTTCTTCAAGTCCCAGTTAAGGGTATAAAGGTCAGCAAGACTGGAGTTCTACATAACGTCAATACTGAAATTTATATACTGTCGCGTCAGCAGGCATGGTGAGCTACAGGAGGTGCCAGTTTGGAAAGCGACTGCTAAAACTTCTCAATAAGATTGGTTTGATAGTTACACTTTCTTACCAAAAGAACTGGAAAACAAACCCTTTGACTTCACACTAAAAAAATATTAGGAATGCTGCTGGTATGTTAGCAACCAGAGGCAGACTGGGAATTGGAAAGAACTTCCTACCACAGGCCACACTGAAGGACTGCAGGAGGAATGAGCAGCTCCTTCCAACCCTCCTTCAAGTCCACCTCTCAGCAAGGACTACAGACCATGTGCAATTCTTTCCTGAATCTGTGTTAACATACTACTGAAATGAAAATTGCTTTTCATAAATTAACCTTGTTTTCACTCTTTATAAATGCTTCTGCAGTGATGAAAATGACATTCTCCCAATGCTCACAGCAAGGCTTGTTTTGGCTCATTACCTCTCAAAGTATCAGCTTACTCATTAGAACAAAGACAATTAATTAGAGGAGCAAGTATATATTGCCTTTTTGCTCACAATATTGGGTGAAGTGGTCACCATCAGTCACATATCAACAAGAGGTACTATTCACTAAACTGACAGTCTAACGTCTTCACACGTTATTACAAGCAGCATCTACAATGTCTTGCATAACATTCTACCTAGTTTCTGCACATTTCTTTTAACGATTTATGGCAACATCACCCCAATCTTATTGATTTGCACCATTACTCACCAACAGAAAAGCAGTAGGCAAGGCTAATAAACGTGCAGTTTTAGGATCAAGTATTAATTGCAGCAAACGCTGACAATCTGGCAACTGCAAAATCTCTTGCACTCACAAATTAGCATTTCCTATTTTGATTTTTATGTGGAAGGAAATCTTAATGTTATATTTGACTGAAACAGAAGCATTTTGAAATGTGAATTTTGGACAATTAAATTGCTTATGAATAGTGAAAGCAAAGGAAAGCAAAAGCAAATAATTTCATCTCATTGTTTTATGAACAGAAACCACACTTCACTAAAAAGAAGGAAAAAAAAAAGAAGCAGCAGAAGCTGGCAGAATCAGTGACAACCAATCACCTGCGATTTTCATCCAGCACATCCAAGACCTGCTGGTAAGCCCTACGAGTGGAAGACTGGATAAACGACAAAATGCCACGAGCAGAGTAAAGATTAGTTCCATCTTCAGGTAACATATTGGGAGGACAAACACGAGCCTGTTGCAGTGATGGTGTCACACTGTTCATACAAGCATAGTAAATGAAGAGAGAAATACTACAGTCAGATTTTTAATCAAAAAACTTTTCAGATAGTCCCCATTCCAAAATGTTTATCGCTTGTTTTCGGTTTACCCTTCTCCCGCCATTGTAAGCTGACATCCCCAAATCCAGTAGCACAGGGATTATGAGCTATGTTTATATCAGCAGTTTAAAACTGTTATACAGGATAGTTGTATGAAGTCCTTGCCCAGATAAGTCTGTACCTGTCAGAGTCCATAGTGAAGTCCTTATTGATATCAATGAGAAAAGTGTTTTTAAAAGCACAGGCATTTTAAAAAAATCCTACCCATAATCTCTCTCAAAACACAAGCTTTTTCAATAAGGAGAATCTCACACGGAATTCAACATTTCTTTTTCTTTGTGCTGTGAGTAAAGATAGAATTTTGATTTGCATGTGAACAAAGTTTAAAGGCAACTGCTAGAACTCAATAAAAAAGGGGCACAGAATTCATATCCCAGTGATAACAACTTACATGATCTGAGGTTTTGGCCATGATGCATAACAATACTTTAAAAAAATAAAAATACAAAGGATTGAAATACAAGCATGAGCATTTTGGTTTACAGGATTACACAAACCTAACAGAAAGAAATGAATTTTGATAAACTGCATTTCATGTGCTCGTTTTACCTGCCATTATCCACACTGTCCTTCACACATCAAGGTTTTTCTTAAATCAGGAGTTTTTAATTTAAAATGAGATACTTTAAGAGGAAGTCATATGTTAGCTTAATCATTAATATTAATATAAATGCAAGACAACGTGTGAGTTTGCTGTACCCTTTAAATCTTGGAATAGTTTTTATTCCAAGATTAGCATCTTTAATTCAACATAATCCCTTTAGCCTTGCCACTTGTACTTTGCCACAACAGTTTATAGAGTTATAATGCCAATCTTCCCACTCTTGTTGGCATTGTTATGAAATTAAGCATTACCAGCAGAGTACTTGGAAGTGGACTTGATATGTGGATAATTTCTAGATAGGTCATAGCTCTACAGATACTCTGTTTTGAATAGAGCTTCTTTGCAACTGGCTGGCACCACAATCTGAACTGAGTAAGAAAGAAAATTCAATGGAAAAGACAGATTCAAAACATGTTACACAGATGTCACTTCAACCACAAAAGAGTTAGAGCTATCTTAAGCTTCAAGAGACATGCAAAGACAGAAGTGGCTGGTGCTTGACTGATATTGGTCGTTATTAATCAGTTGAAACACAAATATCTTTTCTTGTTGCTGTTGAGTAAGCTTGACCAAAAGAAAGGAAAAGGAAAAGAGGAGAGTGAGAAATCAGTAAGCATCTACTTCACTTCTTTATGTATTTTATTTTTCCCTGTAAGAGCTGCAGATTATTTTTTTTTATATTTATAATGACCTACTTTGCCATCAATAGTAGTGGTCACAGCCACAAGTTTTACTCTTCAGTTGCATTGGAAATTCCAATATTCTCTAGAAAAATCTCCAGAAGCAGGAAAATTTTGTCACTAAAGAATTAATGCGACTTTCTATTCACGTATGGATTTGCTAGCTTGAGGAAAGAGCTGAAGGGTTGAGTTCATATTATGATTTTGTATTACAGTATTTTTTCTTATTCAGCCTAGTATTTGAGATGATGAACAACATCTTAAAAAATATTGCAAACTAAGATATTGTAGAATTCCTGTTGTCCAGAATGCTATTACTGTGAATAACCACAGCAATGGCATTCATAAAGTTCGTGTAGATATTGAAAAATAAACAAAAAACACCTACTAAACTAGAACTACACAAAATTCTCTACAAGAAAGTTACAGGTGGGAAACATTATTACAATAATCTCATAACTATAAGAATAATTCTATGAAGGGCTCAAACCTCAGGATTAGGGAAGGGGAGGGAAGGCCAAATTCTTCTTCTAAGTTTCTTTTTCAGGATTCAAAATTGTTCATCTGTAAGCATGTGGTAGTCCCTTGAACTACAGTGGAGACCACGGAGAAGCAATGTTATGAAGCAAATACCCGATATACAAATCAGCCAAGATAACGTAAGAATTCTCTAACACTTAACGTGACTACTTATCATTAGAGATTGTAGCTATCCTCCTCCTCTCTTTCATTGATAGCAAAATGATCTTAGTCTTCAATATAATTTTGTTCAAATGTTCTGAAAAGAATTCTTATTTGCAGCTACAGCCAGTTATTGTCTCAACGCTTTCTGGCTGAAGAAAAATAATAGAATTTGGAACTAAAACAAACACCTTAGAGTTATAGAAGTTACTATGGAGGAGCTCAGTAACATTCTATGACATGCAGAGTTTCTAGCTTCACAGGAATCTCCCCAAAGCCTTCTCAAAATATTTGAGGTATATGTAGGGCTTATTTCAGAATTTCTCAAACTATTAAATCCAACTCTCTAGGGAGAAAGAGAGTTTTCCCTTTCTCTAGGGGAACGGCAGGAGAAGAGAAAAAATTACCTGTTCTCCCTTTTTCAATGCAGTCTTGGTGCTTTGTTGACTTCTGATTCAAAGGAGAATCTTTACATCCAACATCAGCTAACAATGACCAACTAAAAGCTTAGTTTCTCCAGCTAATCATAAACAGCCAAAGAGCAAAGAATCAGACTAATTTTTTTTTTTTTTTAATAAATCAGTTGTTAATTGAAGCTCTCCCTTTCCTTCTAATGCCATTTACTTTTTCCTGTGTTTCTTACACAAGGAAATGATTTGGCAAAGTTTGAGGAAGCCTGCAACAAAATTAGAAACCACACATTCAGTGTAGTAAAGCCTGTTTCACATTTTATATTCCAAATTAATCTTAGTCAGAAAATTAGTATTGCAGAGAACTACACAATTAAACACACTCTTCATTTTCTTATATCAGGTAACATGTAGGCTTACGTGCAATCCTTAGTCGAAAGAGGTGACTGGAACCGTGGCATTTTATTTCTTGGGACAGTATCTGATCTGTGACACCTTGAATAATAATTGTAATCTCTTAAGTAAGCATCCTTTATAAATAGAGGGAATAAAATGTAGAGAGACATTATTATTGCTACACACATAGGTAGTTATTGTGCAAGCAGGTTCCTACTTGTTAGTCTCTTTTTTTTTAAAAAAAAGCATTTGAGAATTACTATCTCTAACTCCCAACAAATTCTTGGAAGAGTCTCTGCATGCAAATGGATGACAATAGGCAAAAAAAAAAAAAACAAAAAAAAACAGAAAAACCTATCTGTACCATGTGGAGAACACAATGATAAGTAGCCCAGCCAACTTCTTGGCTTCAGTCTGACAAGCTAATATAAAACATTTTGTCACTTTTAAGGCCAGACACTGGAATTTCACAGAGTACATCTGAACATTTTGTCTGAGGACAGCAACGTCCTAGATTAAAACTGGAGTATTATACTCCTATTCGGATAAAGGTTCTAAGTGACAGTACTCCATATGCCTTCTCAATGGGATCCTCACCACAGCATCTTCATAGCCTATCATGTCTATCAGAAATTTGAATCAAGGAGGTAAGAAAAACAAGCAACATTTTTTTGTTTTTAATAGAAATTAAATATTTGAAGTAATTTGAAATTGGCTGTAAGATGTGGACTGTTCTTCCTATGAAGCTGTAAATCAGACTCAAACATTGGAATAAAGAGATAATCTTTCTCAAATTAGATCACCAAAATATTCATTATTGTAGAAATAAACTACCTGGACATGACATGAACTTACAAGTCAAGCTAGTTTTGATGATGCAGCATTGTACCGCCAGGACAATTAGAACAAAGCTAATGCTTTCAGCCAACAGCACTCGAAATAAGAACTGCACGAGCAGCTGGTTCCTTGCACATTTGTAAAACAGTGAAAAAAACATTTCTCAGGGATGTGACAGAAATTTTGAAGTGATATGAATGAGACATAATAGTTACACACTTCAGTTTTCTGCAGTGCAAACAATACATTTGTAGTGTAATTTCTTTACTTCAGTGGTCTGATTTATCAACAAGTGAATTCATCTTAGAATAAATGCATCATATTTACCAGGAACCTCTAGAAGAAATAGCAGTCTACAAACTAAGTGAAAATCAATACCATCTGATGTAGCATAATTTGTACCAACCAGGTTGGTTTGCTTGTATTTCTTATTTGAACCACTCAGTAGCACTTCCATGCCAGCAGCTTCTCCAAGCAGCTACTACAGCTAAAACTGAATGCTACATTATTAGTTTTGTTTCTAGAGTCACCACCACTATTTTATTTCCATTAAGCTTGCTTTTTTTTTTTAAATCTCAAATTTACAATATATGCCTTCTGGACCTACATTGTGAAGAACCACTAGTCAAGAAATACCTTTCCCACCAAGTACAAAAGACTTGTATGGCTCACACAAATGCAGGAAAACCAAGTTTCACCTCGAGCATTGTAGTTTCATAATAAGCATTCACAGAATGTTCTCCTGAGGATTAACCAGGTTCACAGGTATGTTCTCCATCCAGAGATTGACTCAACCCAGGTGAGCCAGAAATGTCAGACTCAGCATCACTGAGAACACCACAGCATGTTCAAAGTGATTTCCTTTTCTGGATCACACTGCATCAAAAGAAGCAATGATGACAGAAAAAGAAGCAATTGCTAGGAATCAGTGATTTCAGAGCAGATGATCTAAGCAGGAGGCACAGCATAACTTCTGTCATAAGAAAACAAGTGCCTGAGAGGATGAGAGACAAATGAAGTTCTACAAATATAAGTTATCTGCAGGCTGGCAAGTGTGGAATTTCTTCACCACAGTGAAGAAATACAGATTCTTCCACATTGTCAGTAGAGAGCACAGATACGGAAGGCTTGATATTAGTTGTTATTATTCATACAAACAAATAGAAGAGATTCTGGATCAATCTCAAGTTTATATAATTTTCCTAAAAGAATGGAAATGCTTTCAGGACTTGTACTTGACAGATATTATGCAGGCACAAGTATGAGCATTGAGAGAGGGAAAACTCATCTCCGGATGTGTCAGGATTTCCTAGCTGTTGTATATGATAAACTGAGTCATGCCAAGTAGAAGTTACTTACTTCATTGATCACATCATTTTTATATTTACAGAATTCCAGGTTTGTATTGCCTTGCTAAGCCTCTTTGAAGGACTGCTAATAGATTAAGCAATTGTGACAGCAAATAGCATTTAGACAGTTTGAAACCAGCAATTCCACATACAGCAAAGCACACAGGTGAGCTTTGCAGGTTTAGAGAACTTTTGGATTTGAGAAACCCAGATGTGAGAAATCTCAGAGTGACTGGGTACAGCCATTCAGAGCTGATCCTGCCAGCTTTTCAGATCACAGCCCAGGACCTTCAGAAGAGTAAAAAAAACAAAGCAAGAATAAAAGTGACTTCAAGAAACTGCAACAATTCATACACCATCTGTTTTTCCTTCAAGAGCAACACATCACAGCTCACAGAATTTATCAAAGACTGAAAAAGCAGAGCTGGTAACAAAGTGCTAAACCTTTTCACAAACAGCTTCCACCACACGAAGACCTGCCTGCATTGTGTGCAGACTATCACATAGGCATTCCTGCAGAGTAATTACAGGCACATCCAGCCCAACATATTTTAGCCGGATGACCGATATCAAAGTGAAATCGGGCACTTAGTAGGCTGCTATAATATCTGCAGACTGAGATGATCAAGGAGCTTATGGACATGGATTTCATTTTGCCAGTTCAGTGAACGTATATAATTCAGTAGACTTGAGCACCTAGATATGTGCAATACTCTTGTATCAACTAAAAGCCTGATTAAGTAGGGGAAGAAAGATATGCAACAATATTTCCATGAAGATCTGGAGGAAGAAAAAGAAAGTTATAACCTCTGAAATAGGCATTAGAGTACATTTCACCAGTTTCAGACAAAATAACTCACAGGTAAATAGATATATGTACATTTAGTACTTCCTAGTAACGCTGCTGTAAATAGAAGAAAACAGGCACTTCTAGGACATAATTCACCTGATCTGTTTTACGCTAAAAATAAATAGATCCTAAGTAGGTCTTGCACTTACTTCCCTCAATTTACTGCAAATTAAATTTCAGGTGATTTAATAATACTGTGTTACACAGCCTACATTTGTCTAGTGTTGATGACTCCCATTGTGTGGTCTCACTTCTTATATCCTTTCAACAAGGGAAAAGGTACTCTTTATGGTAGCTGTATTAGGAATTGTTCTGACCAATACATGAAGTTTAAGTGTTAAGTTGTGAAAACAATTACTGGCAAGTGGAAGAATGCCATCACTCAGAACACAGTGATTAGTCAAATGACTATCATGTCTAATCAGAATATACAGACATGTATGTCTTCAGAAAGCACCATAAGAACTGTTACCACTGATGGTATCAGAAGATGAAGCTTCCGACTTTAAGTGCTACTTGCCATTTTGGTCTTAAAAGATTACGATATGAATTCACAGATTCCAATGCATTAAGTATATAGACACCAAAGAAAATTGACTTTTTCTAATATTTATGAGAAATACCAGAGACACCCATATTCCTTTGCCTATGAATTAAAACCATTATGTAATACCAGTTGGAAAAGGAAACACTTTACTGCACAAAGAACTCAATTTCTTTGAGCAGATAACCTGAAAATTCAGGAAAAAAAACAACCCTATACCACTTCAACTCAAGAAAAAACACCTCCTAAAGTAACAATTCAGAGTGACAGGTGAAACAGTGGTGAGCCCAGAAACACTCTCACCCATACACTCTAGGAAGACACTTCCCAAATACCTTACTGAATGAAATGCAAAGAAATTAAGAAAAATGCTAGCATACTACCGTTAAAAATTAAGTTTGCTACTACATTTAAAATGTTAGGAAAACAAATACACAGAGATAAGGCATAAAAGAAATACGTAACAAAGCTGTAGTGCAGCCCAGCACCCCATTGCTCTACTCACAGGGAATCATTTCGGGCCAGCTGGCCGTTCTGCCGAGTGGCATTTTCGCTCATGGAGCGTTCTCTTTTCAGTCCTTCCCACTGAACGAACCTGTGTACGAGCGGAGGAAGATGGACATAAAAGACAGGGAATTCCAGCAGAGACTTAATAACTTAACACTGGAAGATTAGCACTGGAGATTTAAGTTAGATCTGTTCTCAGATACAAAGCCATATTTTCATGGGTTCCCAGAGATTAGAAGACATCAGATGAGAGGATCTGATGCAGGTACATGTAAAACCAACTTCCAAACTTGTTGCCATCCTTTATATATGGATTTAAATTTGTAAGAAAGCAATCTGTTACACTTAATATTACTTCCTTTCACCAGAGGCAAACACTTTTCTACTTTGTTTTCCAAGTAGACAGAATATGCAACTTCTTAAATATTTCTCAGTTATTCAGATGCCAATTACATGTCATCCACCTGGATGCCAATACCATACAATTCTTTGAAGTACTTTTTCAGAGTTTAAACAAAACTCACTAGTTCTATGTGTTGCAATATCATATATCAATGAATAACAAAGATTAATAATACATGTCAAGACAATGTGTGTGTTTTCTGATAACCTGCAAATTAAAAAACTCACAGCTTTCTCTTTAATCGAAAGGGTTATTTCGTTAAAAGTACTTTGAGCAGTTCTAATTATGACTTCATTTTATAAGTGCTGTGTAAGCTTACTGAGACTGCCAACCCCTAGTCATCTGTCAGTGAAATACGGAACTTAAAAGGCACAGTTTAGAACAACTGCAGTGCTTATAGAAATATGTATTTTCCCAGCTTCTGTTTGTACCAGATACGTCTGCACTACTATGGAGAAATCACTGGTTCTTTCACTTTGCTTTAGAAAAAAAGTTTCTCAACCAGGGAAAGAGCAAAATAAGTACTAGCCTCTTCATTCTGAGGTGTCTGCTGTGGAGGTTTTTCTAGGTCCAAAAAATCTAGTGGTCGATCACTAAGAGAAATAACACGGGGAGGAGTTTTCAATGCCAGTGGTTTGAATGGAGTAGACTGAAGAAGGTCAAGGTCTGGTGGTCTGGAAAGTGGAATGTCTTCACTGTTACCTGCAAGAACATCAGTTGTCAATAGAAAGATTTCTGTGGCCTAAGGGCTGATTTTCTCAGAATATGCCAAATAATGAGGAATATTTTTTTAAAGATCCTTGTTTGTTAAATACCACGTTTAAAGCTTTCTTAGCTAGCACATTAACTGACACTTATTTGAGCAGTATGCCTGAGAAATCCTGAGCAACATCAACTGTTATTGAAGTGAGGGCACTTTTAATCTCTAGACATAGACCTATTAAAGCATATTTGTATACAAATACAACTAACTGGTGATTTGAACATTTCCTTCTTTCAAAGCATAAAATACACACTTCACACATTTAGCAAATTGTAAGGCCTTCAGCAGCTTCAGGTCTCTCGCTGTAAAGCCCACAGCCATAAATACTGGAGAACTCTTGAGAGAGTGCACCCCATACAAACAGGACCTTAACATGATGGGCGTTCCAATTATAATAAAAAAACATTTTGAATAAGAAGTGTCTAATATATAGTACATGCCCCAAACTTCTAACAGGAATTTTTAGCTTATTAATTAAAAAAAGCAGGTATAAATCAATAACCATTAAATCTTCTTGCCCATAATCCAGAAATAGTTTAGTAAGATGAAAAGTCAGCAATTCAATTTCCTGTTCCTAATTCCTTCATTAACTATCTCTGCTACATTACACCAAAATTATTCATGAAGCATTTTCAGGGATTGAGATACTCATTGATTTAAGAAGTAACAACTGTCTGAAAACTGGAAAAGCATCACACATCTTTTTCTTTATAAAAATGTATAGAGACACATGACCTGTAAGAAATTTGGGGAATTAATTTAAATGTTTGCTTATTTTTCTTATATTGAGGTGCAGCCATACCTGCCACTACAATCCGCTCTGGAACCTGCATCGTTACACTGGCATTTGGGAATCCTTCTGGGACGTCCTTCTCAAGGTCAGCATTTGGAGGAGCCACTTTGAGTTTTTCTGGGACCCTCATGCGCTGGCTGATTCCCTCAGTGTACTCCATTTCGTACTGAAGGCGATTAATCTCTGCCATCTCGGCAGCTGGCGATGGGAACGCAGCCCCACTCATTCTGACAAAAGAAAACCAGAAGCTCTAACAGCAGTACATGAAACCAACAGAGAGCAACTAAAGGAATCTCTCTGCTGTGATTCCTGGGCATGTGTTAAAAGATCCCAAGTAGACTTCTTTAGAGAAACAAACTACACAATAAAACATGTAGAAACTTCAGTCCCAAGGGGCTAAGCACAGAGGGCAACAAGCTGAGAACAAAGCAGTGCTGCATGTAGCACCCAAAGCTGTACAAGGGTCCTCAACTGGAGTTGTACACCACATGCAGAACTCCTCCTGGGACACGTTTGTTTGCTTTTCTAAATCGCTATTCCTGCACTGGCTGGCAGAAGGAGAAAAAACATTGGTAAGATCTTCGGGATTGTTAAGAAATGAAAACATCAGTCTGTATTTGCACAGATCCAGCGTACCGGTATTTGAGAAAGTGGATAAAGCCTCACAAAACCACACATTGAAAGAGGGGAAGAAAAGAGACCTAGGCCTCTGCTATCACTCATCCAGATCTCAGTCCTACAAGGACACGTTTTCTTATCAACAACCTGTCGAGTTGGCTTGAAGACCTAAGCATGTTCATAACCTGCTACCAATTACACGCAATCATGTAAACAATTCCCTTCTGAATTTTCTGTAAATGAAAATCTTACAAGGGTTTACCAATACTTTTATTTACGCAAACATTTTCTTAGAAAGCAAAGGGATTTCATAGGAAGCAGCAAAGGAATTTCCTAGAAACTGGGCTGCTGATGGTTATTGACAGGGCAATTGCTGGAGAACTGTATTGAAGACACAGACAGAGATAACTTTTCTCTTGTTTCAAAGGTATGCGGGGTATTCAGCTTAAGACTGGAAGGAAAATAAATCCTAGAGCTACACTTGAGGGGCTGGAAAGGGGCCACTGATGGAAACTAAAGGCTAGAAAGAAGATTCACATGGCTGAGAAATTTTTTCTTTGAGGCAGTGGTTAGCAGACCTTGTCGATGGCCCATAGCCACTCAGATTATGGTGATGGCTTCGGTTAAGACGATGAAAATCTGGAGCTGCAGTTAGAGCGAGACTGGGAAGTGGCTCCAACAGAAGCTGAGCTGCAAGAAAGACTCAGATGTGAGAAGCTTTTAATCCAGTCAGTGGCAGGGGGGCCCTGTCCATAGCTCAGCCTGAGATAAGTTATTTTTACTGTTAGGGTTAAGAGAATTATGTATTTCTACACATATATGTACACATACAAGGTGCAAACACAGTTACCATGGGAAACCCACCCAAAGGAAACAAAACTTGCTGTAGCAAGAAGTCTTTTGCTGGTACTGCTTCAAGTAGCTCCCTAAATGAAGCAATTGATTCTGGCAAAAGAGCATTTTTTTGCCACTATAATTGCAACTGCATTCTTGTACTATTTTGGGCAGCAAGGCCACGTCTGTTGCTGTGCACACGCTCTAACAAGCCGAGCACACAGAACTTGGCCAACAAAACAGCGGGACCCACCCAAGGAAATTCAGCCCCTGCGACCCTATTTTTTGGTATCAGTGTTAAGGTTGCAATCATGACACACAAGCACAGATTTTGCTTCTTTTTCAACATGGGTAGTGTGCTTCCTACGGAACCAAACCAAGCCAGCTACGCTTAGTCCCATCAACCTTCCTGGGCACAGAACGAACAGAACATCTCCAATTGTTTATAGTTTCATGGGTGTTTGTCGTGTGTAGTTATAATTAAGACTAATGCTTGGCCACATCACACAGAAATGGTACCTTCCCTATTTATCAATCAAACCTCAAGTTAATAGTAATCTGCAGACAACAGAAATAAGCACACAGAAGGATGTGGTCACCGTCAGACTGTATTAAATGCACAAATTCAATATATTAAAAGCGTAATCCCTTTGGCAATCCATCCTGGGACCCTTGGTGCTGTTCTCAAGACTCCCAATCACCACGGATCAAACAAAACAATCTCACTCATCTGAAAGCCTGACTCACGCCAGCACGCTAAGAACTGGGGCTCACAGAGGTCTCCATTCCACATAAACTTAAAAAAAACACACCACCACAAAAACACATAAGAAAATACCTGAAATCATGCACCTGATTTAATCCTATCTGTATTAACTCTTACTGTTTGTGTGTACCAAACGACAGGAATTTGAACAACCCTTTTGACTAGCAATAAACAGTTCAAAATACACCCGGCCTTTGTAGTAGCTCAGGAGGTGCACGAGCAGCTCTGTCACTTCACAGCTCTTAGATTTGAGATTTTTTTTCTTGTTGTTTCTGCCCTTTGGTCTTGCAAACTATGTTTATCTCTCCTGTGAGCTGTCAGCCCCATCAGCCAGTGACTTGAAAAAGACCACAGCCTTCAGCAATTCTGCTTCCCAAAATATGCTTGCCCTTTCCAACGAGGGTCTGCGATCAATAAAGCACTTCCAGACCAACAGTAGTGTAAAAAAAAAAAAAAAAAAAAAAAAAAAAGAAAGGTATTAAGGATCATAATATCAGTATCGGTAACGAATGTCAAGACCTTAAAGTCCCCAGGCTGTGTGCTGGCAGCAGCATACGAGGCAGTTACCGCTCCAGAGACTTGCTAAAGGTCCCTGCCAGCGTGTTTGCTGTGTGACTGCAACTCCCACACAGCCCTAACGCGGGCTCTCAAGCATCACCACAGCTTCCCTTACGTTGGGCATCGCCTCGGTGCGTCAGTCAGCACGGCAGCTGCCTTCCAGCTGCAGGGATAAAACACACACACACCGACAGCAGCCGAGAATCGTCCCATGAAGGGTTTATGAATAAAACATTGCTGCTCAGGCTCGGCTGTACCCGCTGCTTGCCAAGGGCTGAGTAACAGCAGCTCCGGGGCTCCCCGCTCCTGCCTCTGAAAATCGTTTTCCTTCTGCCCCATCGATCTCACCTCCCAGCCCTCCCGGCAGGGGAAGGGCAAAGCAACCGGCACCGAGGCTGCTGCGAGAAGAAGCTGCGGACACCCGAGCGGGGCTGGGTAATAAGAATGTGATTGTTTAGAGGGAGCAGGAGCAGAAGGCAGGCGGCTTGGCGGGACAGCGGCAGTACCGCGTCCTGAAGGGAGGCTGCGGGGCTGGGCCGGTGCTCCCGGAACGCAGCGGCCCTGAGGGGCGAGCCCAGGGCAGCGCCTGGGAGCAGGAGGGGGGCGCGGGGCCGGCACAGCGCGGACACGGCACGGGAACAGGGGCCGGGGCAGCGCCTCACGGGCACGCAGCGCGCCGGGGGGCCCTGCCCCGCTCCCCCCCCTCCCCCCCGTGCCCCCGGGGCTGGCAGGAGCCGGGGAGGCCCTGTCGGGGCCGGGCGGGGCCGCACTCACCCACAGGCGGCCGGGCCGGGCCGGGGCCGGGGCCGGTCCCGCGGCGCGGCGTCAGGCGTCGCTCAGCCCGGCGGCACGGAGGACGCGAAGCCCGGCGGGACTGACCCCATCGGGCCGCCGTAAGGGCTGCGGGGCCGGGCACCGCGCGTCACGTGGGTAAAAGAGGGCGGAAGCGCTTCCCGCCGAGGCCTCACGCGCGGGACACGGCGGTGGCGGCCATTTTGAGTGAGGGCAGCGGAGGCCCCGAGGGGAGCTGGGCCCGCGCGGCGCCTGCGGCGTTGTTAATTACGGCTAATTAACGTGCTGCCGGCGTGTGAGGCGCTCTAATTAGCGCCTAGTTAGGTGCTCGGTGCTGGAACGTGTGGCTCAGAGCGCGGTGAGGCTGGAGGAGGCAGCAGGCGCCTCCCAGGCTCCAGCCCCGCAGCGCCGCGCCCGGGTTCCACCCCCACACAGAAAGATGAAGTGAAGAGCGCTGTCGTGCAAAGCAGATTCATTTATTTATTTATTGTTAAATGGGATTAAATAATAATAATAAAAAAACCTCTGCTTTTCGTTATATTTTGACTAACGGTCACAATTATAGCGTAGAGGTCACCATGTGCCGCCGTGCCAGAAGAGCTGAAGCGCCCATCAATCCGTGGCCTTCCAAGGCCAGCGACATGAAATGTGATCTCTTTTTAGATAAAAATAAAAGTGGAATGACACTGGAAGTTACATGTTATTTGTCTCCGGATACGTGGTTTAACACCTATCCTTAAAACACAAATCATTGGCCTGAGCTGGTGTTAACAGAAAATCTACGTTGGTCCTTGCTTTTACCACTTCTCCCGGTCTTCATACGATTTACAGATTATCAATATAGATTTTGTCTTATAAAAAAAGGAAATAAAAATAAAAAGCCTTGAAGCACACTTGAAAAGCAGTCCTGCAGCTGTGACCCTGCCTGTCATCCTGCTGGAGGGCTCAGGCAAGGCCCAGGGTCTTGGGCTGGGGTGAGGGCCCTACCAAGGCCTTCATTGTCCTAGCTTTCCCCTGATGTCCTCACAACCCCTTATCCCATACTGTTGTCAACATCAACCTGCTACCCATGTTCTGTGCTTCTTGAGTATGAGTCCATTAGAAAATAAGACTAGAACAGGCTCCCTGGGGACATCGTCATGGCACCAAGCCCATTGGAGTTTAAGAAGCGATTGGACTGTGCACTTAGTCACAGGGTCTGAATTTTGGATAGACCTGTGTGGAGCCAGAAGTTGGACTCGATGATCCTTATGGGCCCCTTCCAACTCAGGATATTCTAGGATTCTATGAACGTGAGCAGTAGTAGAACATGGCTCAGATGTTCCAGATCAAAACCACTGTGACCAGCCCATCACCATACCCCTTGCAGAAATATGCCTAAGAGGAAAGGTTGGGCACGCAGCAAGACAGCTGCATATCTACACTAAAATGCTAGATGTCTAATAGCTACACTGAAGTGCTAGACGTCTATGGTAGTCTACACAGGATAGAGAGAGGTGGTCTTCCTAGGACAAAAGCCATGTCTTTCATTCAGATGACACTAATATACTTAATATTATGCATAGGTATAGGAAAAGATCATTAGCACTGAGAAATTATAAAACAAAGAAACAAAAAAACCCACCAAAACAAGTGAAATAGTTCTTTTGCGTAGTCAAAATATTTTTATTTGGTTGTATTTAGCAGAAGGTTTCTTTTCCTCCTTTTTCTTTTTTTTTTTTTTCTATTGTTTTCTCATTATTTCTGATTTCTTATGCTTCCATTCTTTCAGTACAATATATTAACACTTTGCACCTCTTCAGCACTTTCCAGTTAAGGCTCTCAATTTATTTACAGACACAAGTTAAGTAATTCTCACAACAATCATTAACAATAGAGAAATAAAATGATCTGCACCTGCAGTGAGAAATAAAGATAAACTTTTTTTCAAGTTTTTCTTTGATTTTCAGTTTCCAGCTTGTATTATGCTGGGCTCGATATTTGTCCCTGCAGTTTGGAGTGTTTCATGTTTTGGAAAGAAAGCTCAAGTATGAGCACTCGAAATCTAAAGCTATTTACGGAAGTTTTTCTTTAGTAACTTGTTGAAGGCCACGTGATAAGTGAGCAGCAGAATTCAAAACTGGGAGCAAGACGTAACTGCCCATTATCTGGAGAACTGTGTTCAGTTCTGGGACTCCCACCATAGGAAAGACATGGACCTGTTCAAGTGGGTCCAGAGGTGGGCCACAAAAATGCAGAGGGCTGGAGCACCATTCCTACAAAGTCATACAGATAGGTTTGGGGTTGTTTAGCCCAACTGAAGAGAAGATAAGGCTCCCAGGAGACCTTGCAGTGGCCTTCCAGTACTTAAAGGGGGCCTAAAGGAAAAATGGGGAGGGAGTCTTTATAAAGGAATGTAGCAAAAAGACAAGGGTTAATGGTTTTAAACTAGAAGAAAGCAACTTTTGATTAGGTATTAGGAAGAAATTAATTACTACAAGGGTGGTGAGGCACTGGAACAGGTTGCCCAGAGAAATTATGGATAACCCATCTCTGGAAGTGTTCAAGGCCAGGCTGGATGGGGCTCTGAGCAACCTGCTCTCATGGGAGGTGACCCCTACCCATGGCAGGGGGCTTGGAACGAGATGATCTTCAAGGTCACTTCCAACACAAACCAGTCTATGATTCTGTGCTATGAGACATGGCTCTTTGTAACTTACCTTTGACTTTAAGGCCACAATCCATTCCCTTCTCCTCATACATTATCCTCTACTGAATATTTCTAGAAGGCTTCAATGTCAGTTACTTTCTGCATTTTAGTAAGTTTTGCATAAGCATCTCCACAGTCATTAATTGTATACAGTATACAATGCCTTTGTGTGACTGCAGTGAGCTTTAATGAAAAATTAAATCTTAACAAGCAACAGATATAGGTTTTATCTTTGAGTACTTAAATAAACTTCAGAGCTCATGGAAAAATCTATCAAGTGATTGTCTTATAAAAAACACCTCCATCCCCAAATCTTGTTTAAATGGAAGTTTGAATATTAACTTGACATTAATACCTTCTTATCAATAGTGCATCTGCATAGAGATTCTTCATAAAAACCTGCAAATTCACAATTATACCTGGCAAACAGAAGTACTGTAATTGTTCAGGCTAACAATACTTTTAAAATATTCATTCAGTTCATGTAGTAAATGGTATCTTCAAGTTACCTCCATCAGAAGATACTGACATGAAACACAGATGAAACCGTTTCATAGTTAGGTTAACACTGAAAATTCAAACAGACAAACATAATGCAAGTATTTTAACAGAAACAATATAAAATATCAGTGACTTAAAAAAGATCTAAATGAGAAATCTTGGTTATTTCAATGAATTGCTAGACCCTACATTTAAAATGATAGATTTACAGAACTCTTCAGATGAATTAGGCTTCTTCTCTAACACTAAATACTGGAATTCTGATAATTTGTGCAAGTATTAAAAATATTAACATCTTAAATGTTAACATTACAATTTTAAATAGCCTTGCAAGTGCAATGTTACAAATATTAAAAACAAATCAGAGCTACAATTTTGCATAAGTTATATGAGTAAGTGAAAGTGCTTTTCAAGTATTTATGTTCATTTACAGTTGGATTCTCATGTTAAGTCAGTGCTCAGTGGTACAATTTAAATATCAGTCTTATTTCCATTTTGGATGCATGAATTTAACTGGATGGAATAGAAGAAATGTGAAGAAATGTTTGTGATACATATTTAAAAATGAAATACCATTTCTGATAAATATGTAAATGGAATTTTAATGGAATATTAAAAAAATGAATTACAGATTACCTCCTGGAGGTTGTGGGATAATCTGATAATGCCACAGGAGCTCTTTAACCATACAGTAATTGTAAATTACATCAATTTCTTAAATTATGATATGTTAAATAGTTGCTCTTTAGTAGAGACAAAAACCACGTGATCATAATAAAGGCCAAATACTGTCAATTTCTGAGAACTTTAAAAGATCTCATAATCTGTGTCAAAAGCATGGATTCTAAAGAACATTTTCATATGCTTACAATTAGTTAGAGCTTAGCTGATGTCACCCTGGAGAACAGAGCTGGTGCATGTCAGCTCTCTAGTGTCTATCCAGTGCACAGTTTAGCTCCCTTTCTGGATAGTCAAAATCCATTATTATTGCAGTGATACAAAAAAGACTGCATTCCTGCTTCCCAGCCCAAGGAAGGGTGAGCTAAGTAGGGGAAATACTTCTTTATTAGACAAGAAACCCAAACCAAAACAACCCTAAATTAACCAATACTGTAATTAAAAGTGCACTGAAAATATTTCCTATCCCACCCTATCTCTCATAAGTGCCAGACTTTTATCTTAAATTATACCTACTTTGAACACTGAACTGTAAGCTGATATTACAGCATTTTGTCTTGCGGTTTGAAAAGCACATGACACAAGGCAGCATTAATGTCTTTCATTAAAGATCTGGCAACGCCACAGATTTTGTTGTGAAGATGCAGCATAGAGATGACACGGTTCTGGAGGAGACCCTGCAGACTGCCATTACACGCTTACTTCAACAAAGTGCTTTGTCATTTGCTAAAGACCAAAAGTCAAACTGTTGTCCTACCTCACCACAGTGCTGCACTGGCAATTTACAGTTTTCTTTCCAGATGCAGTTGGACTTTAATAAATTATTGCTCTTCAAAGTTAGGCAATTCTTTGTAATAAAAGCAGAGTTTCACGTTCCATCAAGAGAGGCCCTTGTTTACACTGGTCTCTTCATGCAGACCTGACAACGACTGATGATGTTCTCTAGTTCTCCTGCTTTCAATGTCTGTGGCAGAGGTTTCCTAAAAGAAACAAACATTACTTTTTTGTTAAAAAACAGGAAGGGGTGATGAAACTTTGGATATGACATTACTGACACTGACATTTAAATTCTTGGCTCGCTGAAGCTCTCTTTGTGCTACAGAATGACCACAAACCTGACAAAGGGGGACATTAATCTGACAGGAGCTAGTAGGGGAGCCCCCGCAGGTAGGGACTTCTCAGCCACCTGCAGCATGGATGCTGGAAACAGGAGTGGGACAGCTAAGAAAGTACAATTTACCTGAACATTCTTTGTGGATTTAGTGATGCCAACCAGAAGCTGTAGGAGTTCGTGTAGTAGTTGCATGTGCCCCTGCCATGGCACTCTATGAACGGGATGGCTCGAAATTCTTCCAAGCAAGATCCAGGAGATGCCAGCGCTTGGCCAGAAGCTTCTGAGCCAGCACTCGTATACTGTAACCACCAATACGTTTTTTATGAGAACATGTACATCAGTATTTAGCAATCTGCTTGCAAAAAATAAATCTCTCAAACATACCATATTTTCTGTGCTGTTTCTTGAACAAAACAAAAATCAGCATAGATTGGTTTTGATCAGACTTATAATGAAGCACAGAAGCCTTATGAAAATTCAAGCACAGTTAGGCTATTTCTGAGTTCTTGCAAAGGCCTTTTTCTGCTCTATGAGAAGGCATGAAAATGTAACCAGTTCAAAGACTAGAAAGTAGCTGGCTTCTGTCCATTTGAGGGCTACAGTAACTGAATTACAAATAAGCCAAATCCCATATTTTGTGGGTGTGTGCACGTTTGTATTCATATTTTTTATTGCATTTATTGCTTTTCCAAACACAAACAGCAAAGAATGCATCTTCCATCTCTGATGTTGGTAAATGCTTGTAGAAATAGCTCTAAAATAATTTATGACAGAAGAAATTTCATTAGAAAAATACCATTTTAATTTGCTGATGTTTAAAAAGATAAAGATTTGAGCTCGATGATGCAAAAAAAAAAAAAAAATCCCTCCTTTCCAAGATGTTTATTATTACTTAGGGCCAAATCCCAGGAGAGACAACAAATTTCACATTAGACCTAAAAGAAGTTTCCATCAAGCAGAAGAAATGCAGACCTACAAGAGAGGATTTCGGTTCTTTCATCCTCATTTGCTGGCATTCCTATGGCATGCCACAGGCACGGACAACAAAACTGGAGGGCCACATCCCCTCGTATGGACACACCCTTATTCCCATACTCAGTTCTCACTTTACAAGCACATTACGAAGTTTCTTCAGTCATATCGCATTGTGGCATCAAAATTGCTGAGGCAGTCCTCTACAGAGAATGTACTGCATCAGTTTTGATTTTAGCTTTGATTTTAGAGTTTGGTCCTAACAGCTGATTTATAAAAGAACAGCTGGGTAGAGCAGTGGGTAGCGTATTTTTGCATATCTGTGGTCAGGACTGCTTTAATCACCTAGCTCCCCAAACCTGTGCTTCCTAGAGTTCAGTGTAATGCATAAGAGTATGCAGTTATTTTTGACACACTAAAATCCTGTGGTTTTCCTTTCATCTCCCCTTTTCCTTCTGCCACCTATTTTTGCAGACAGATCTGAATAGTTGTTCCCATTTTTGAACAGGCTGCTCAGGGAAGTAGTTTAGTCACCATCCCCGGAGGCATTCAAGACGTGGAGATGTGCTGTTTAGGGACATGGTTTAGTGTAGATTGACAGAGTTAGATTAATGGTTGGACTTGATCTTAGAGGTCTTTTCCAATCTAAAAGATTCTCTGCTTTTATGCTTTGACATTATATAAGAGTTAATAGAATTATTGTCTAATGATAGGCAAAGAAAAAATAATTAATTGTTAATACACAAATGCACTAAAAGCAGATGAAAATGCCATTGAAAGTGAGAGGAGAGAAAATAAGTATTTCCAAGCCTTTTTATCCTTACCATAACAAAAGAAAAACCCTTCCAGAGAGATATCCAGCCTTCTGGACATGCAGGAACTACAGTTGTTTGGCTGTGAACTGCTATTACCATTGCAGGTCCTTCACAGACAATGCATCTGTAAGAAGTGCACATGCATTCAGTGCAAAGTTGAGGGAAAACATGTAAGCAGACAAAAAAAAAAAATCTGCTGGGATACTGGTTACCTAATGGCAGGGCTTACTACAGATTCACCACTTGCACATATTCTCTCTGTTTAATAAGGAGATAAGTACATTGAAGGTAACCTAAATATCTGCTTTGACGTCTCTACTAAACAAAAACTGGTGAAAGATGGGAATTGATCCCAGAACATTTGACCCTCCTAATACTGCCTTTACCAAAGTAACAAGCTAGATTCTGCCCTCTTCAGGTGTTCATTAATTATGTTGCTATGGTTTAGATCAAAGTTCTGTACTTTTATTTGCTAAAATTATTCTTCATTATTTCCAAAATGAAGAAATGATGAAGCTAGATTACAGTAACTGTGTACAGCAGGCTAGAAGGAAGAGTGCAAAGCTTGCCTTCCCATTTTTGATATTGCTACTCTTGGTCTTTTGTACTTTCAGAGCTTTCCCTCTTAAGAGGCTTTTCATCCTTCTCAGCTAACTTAAAGCAACTAGGAAGGCCCACATTTTCACAAGGGTGTTTCATAGTAGAGAACCTTTAGCCCCAATTTACAATATTCTTCATCAGCTACAGTAAATATATTACGTGTAATTGGAAGCAGAATTTAATTTGTACTATTTATCTAAATATTGAAGCTGTTATGTCATTTTAGCCTGCCTCTTCCATGTATGACAATAGTTTAAAAAAATCTATCGATCATTGCAATCAGTAATGCGTGCCCTTTTCTCTTGTCAGCTGTGCAGATTAAGCCTGTGGTGATACCTTAACATTTCTTAGGGTATCACTGAATATCTGACATATTCGGGTGAGAAAATCAGGCAACTAAAAGCAGTGCTTGTACTTACTGAGATGGACAGGTCTTGGTCCGTTTGCTGCTTCAAAACAAATGCATGGTTTCAGGCCAGAAGAACTGAAGTTCTTATACTCTTACCTGCTTATATGCGGGCTCTAGTGCTCTGCCAGAAATCGGTGCCATGTCTACTGGCATTGCTGTCACAGTTGACAGCCAGTATGAATAGTCAGTTGCGAGAAGCAAAGCTACAAACATCATTGGTGTTACAGAATAGGAATGGCATGGTGGTAAATCTCTGCAAGCAGCTACCAGCTGTTCCTAAAAGACAAAAGAGGAAAACTTGTGACAAACGAGATTATATACAGCACAGTAAATAGAAGAGACTCATGATGTGATTGTCTACTACAGTAAGAATTAAAAAAAAAAAAGATAACTATAAAGAGAGAAGCATCTATACAGTGAAATTATAGGAAAACAAAATACTTATGGCATATATATATATGAATTTGTATTTAAAATATTAAGGCTAAGAATTAGATTCGTTAAAAGTATTATCTTATTGAGTGATATCAGTCCTTGGCGCAGTGGCAGGCAGTCAGCTACCTAAACACAAGCTTCTAATGCCATTTTTGACACTCTATGGCATTCAGTTTGGCCTCTAAAAATAAGATTCTCTCCCAGATACTGTAACATTACTAACAACCCTACATAGATATTGTGGACATTTACGTTAGACATCTATCCATAAGTGACTGAATTCCTCCTGAAAAATGTGTAGGGAGAGCAAAAGGGAATATAAAAGTGCAGGAAGAAAAGATGTCTTTCAAACCATGATTACTGAATTGTCTCAGAACAGTAGACTGCTCTGTAGACTGATGGTTGAAACCAACGTTCATCTCAGACACAATGCCAGTTTGTTTTCATGGAAACAACTTGGATTATTGTACTCTACTGAAGGTGATACGGATATTTTACTAATACAGTACCAAGGTCTTGTCCATGCGCTCGTTCGTTTCCTTGAACAAAAAGCAGCGAAAAGCCAACATAGATCTGTGATGTCCCTGGCGGACACGAAGGAGTCTTTGTTGTTTGACTATGCCGGGTAAAGATAAAACCTCTTCTTGTTGGACCAGTGATGATAGTACCTGGTGATCCAGGTAACCCCTGTAGACCAGGAAAGCCAATCAGTCCAGGTTGTCCTGTGGAGGGGAAGAAAAACATGACTGCAACTATTGTCATTTTGTTTGAGTTCCTACTTCACTTAAATTAGGGGAACAACCTGAAAGTAAATCAAAAATTTGAAACTTCAAAATGGGTAGAATTTGTTGCTAGATATATTAATTCCTTCAGACCTAGCTCAGGCAGCTTTACTATTGCTCCAAAATGATGCAATGTGAGATATTTCAAAGAATCATAGCCATTTTTATGAAATGAAGTTATAAAGTAAAATTGTTTTTATGGTGATTCACTTAAAATATTCAGTTCCATATTGATGCCACGTGAAGACACACTGGTACTTAGGGATTTGAATGAATTTTCAAGCAGATATGTAAATGTGATTAATAACAGAGGAGCACAGTCAAGGCACACTTTTGTAAATTATTATTTCAGTTGTGAAAATGCATCTGTTAAAAACTAAGCAACTGCTTGCATGTGTTGATGGCTGTAAAGCTGCTGCAAATGTTACAGAATTTCACTATATACAAAAGGAAGGCTTTAAAGAAATTGGGAATACAGCCTATCTATAGATTCAGTGGTAGCAGTCAGTGATGCCTGCTTTCCTCTACCTCTTTCTCCTGGAAATCCCCGGTCTCCTTTTGGACCAGGCAGTCCTGGTTGACCTGGACGACCAAAGCTTCCTGGTAGACCTTTTACTCCTTTAGGTCCTAAAATGGAATCAAGAAAAAACAGATTAATATAGCAATATTTATTCTAGATATTAGTAACTGCCAATCAATAAAGTTAAAATCCCTCCATGAACGTAGTTGTGTTAGAATAAAAACACCAGCACAGATTTTGTAAATTTTGAGACTGTCTGTAGTGTTACTGTCTCCATATTTCACATCAAGAAGATGGCAAGGAAGTACTGAATGTATTGCAGAAGAACAGATTCTTTGCAGATTCTTACAAAGAACATCTATATAAGTGTTCCATCAAGCAAGACACAAAAATAACTACAGAAATAAAAATATAAACCACCTTGTAGCCCAGGAATCCCTTGAATTCCTTGATCTCCTGGTGTTCCTGGGACTCCGGGCAGTCCAGGAGGCCCCTTGCTTCCTGGGACAGAGAATATTCTCCCAGAGACTCCAGGTGGACCTAGTAGCAAAAATATAATGAAGAGCCAGATACTTTACATTAAAAAACAAACAAGCAAAATAAAGTAGTAACAAGAAATCAAGATAAGTTAGCTGTTATTAGAATGAGAAGAGTTATAACAAGTTACCACGTTGGCCTTTTGGTCCCCTTGGCCCTTCTGCACCTTGTGGTCCAGGGGGTCCTTGATTACCCTTTTCTCCTAAAAAGGGAGATTGAAGACGTGTCTTTCTGGTTTGAAATGTTAAAACAATTGTCAGATGTTCAGAACTTTAAGTGTCTTGCGGTCAGCAGATTAATTTGAAATATGGGTGTGCACTTCTACATAGCTTTTGTTACTCTATAGTTTATAGGCCAAGTGCAGTCAGTTTACAAGAATTTGTTTCGATGTTTATCTCCCTATAGAGCAGTTCAACTCCCTTCAAACCCCATCAGTTATGCGGATGACTGTTAGGAAGGTTGTAAAGTTTTTCAAATGTTTGAAATCTGCTACGCAATTCTTTTTACAGTGTAAAATATAGTTATTCTCATCCAGGTTATTCTCTTGAAAGTTCTGCTGGAAATAAATAAATAAATAAAATCCCAGAATTTTTATTAAGTCAGGAGATTTGACTATGTGAAGAAATGAGGGCTTTTGCTTAAGGAAATAGAATTTGTCTGTGCAGTGATTTTTCAAATTAGAACCACAAACTTGAAGTACACAATTTGCATGGAACTCAATGCACTGGGTTAAACCAGTAATGACAGTTTTGTATCACTGTAAATTATGTAACTGAAAATGAACATACTGGAGCAATGCAAACCTATATCATATTTAAATCACTAAAAGAAAGTTTCAAAAGCATTTTTAGCCAGATAAAACTAAAATCCACTAAATCCAACTAACCCTTAGGAATATGAAATTTATAAAGCCAATAAATTTTACAAATTGTCTACTGATAAGCTGGTGAATGAGAACATAATTGAGTCTATTCTTCTGGCAAGCAGATGACCCAGTGCTTTGTCTTTGAAATGCTCTTGAGTTCTGTAACTAAGATGTTGCCAAAAATCGCATCTTCTAGTAGTCGTGTGGCACTTCATACCATTCATACCATTACAACACAACATGCATATTACTGTATTTGGCACGTAGAAGTGTACATAGTAAATATATGAATACCTTTTACACCTGGAAATCCAAGAAAACCAGGGTCCCCTCTAGCACCAGGATAACCTGGTCGACCTTCTATTCCCTGCAAATCATATAACATCAATAATAAACAAGAAAATAGGCACTCTATGAAGTATACTTCCTTTTTGTTCGGAATATCTAAAGCATTGTGTCCACAGAAAATGCTGCAACTAAAATTATTTGCTCCATTATGAGCATGTTAGATATAGTCATATTATTGTTAACATTGTTCAGTAATACAAAATGGCCAAGGAAACAACATATCAGAAAGACCCAATAATTTCTTTTTGGTACATTTAAGTCTAACAGAACTATATTTCTGTATCTGTTTTAATATCTTTCCCCTATTATGCATTTATTTGTTTTCCTCTGGATGTTATTTTCATGGCAAGACTGAAGTTAACAGTTGAGTAAGAAACAAGTAGCATTTCTTTCACTGACTTTTGGACCTGGAGGTCCAGTGTCGCCGTTTGGACCTGTTGGCCCTGGTATGCCATCTGCCCCTCTAGCACCTTTGTTTCCTTTCATGCTGGGAGTGGGAAGACCAGGCAACCCTTGAAAACCAGGAGCACCTGTATAGAAACAGAATACCTAAAGATCACTGCCAACAGCATTTCACATACATTACATAAAACACAGTACAACATTCAGCAAATCTGTAATGGTACTTCATGTTTACTGTCTCTGCAATTCTAAAGGACATAGATCAATTATAAATCAGCAACAACAACAACAAAAAAACCACTAATTTTTCTGTAGACTATTAATTTAGTCTGAGAACAGAGCTGAGTTCTTGCAATCCTTAATAGCACTACATTTTTTAATATCTTTCCATTGCAGTTATGCTTGGAATAACACCCGATATTTCACTTCTTTAAGCTGGATTTCAGCTGTCCTACAGATTGCAGCAGAGGGCAGCAAAACTGGGTGAACTGAAAAAACTTAGCATTATTTTAATTTACATCATTCTGTACAGACCATCCTGCTGTTTGCAATGATAAGATTGCATCAGATGGTAAAGGCACTACTTGCTCAATTATAAAGATGTCTGGGGAAGAACCCCCTTCAATTTTGAGTTTTAGACAGACTGAATTCAGCTTCCAATTATTGGTATATCTTTTCAGATAAAGAAGTTATAACAACACACCTGGTCTTCCATCTGCACCAGCAAGGCCTCTATTTCCTTTTGGGCCAGTAATTGCCATGCCTGTTGCACCTTGAAATCCAGGTAACCCCATTAAGCCAGGAGGTCCAACGGGTCCTTGATCACCCTGACGACCTTTCACACCTGGTGGCCCAGGAAAACCAGGCAGCCCCATGTCCCCTTTGATTCCTGCAGAGTATAAGTAATATATTTGAGGAGAGCTGTCATGATGGTGAGAGGCTATGATAGCTTTTAGAAACAGGACTACACAGAGTACGTGTGTCTACTCTAACACAAAGGTGGAATGCAGCCTTTGTTTTTAGCATGGCTAAATCCCCAAAGCCACCTTGCTACTCTAAAGCAAAATGGTTGTGAGAAGACGTGACTCACTGCAAGGGAAGTGTACATCACCACTTCTTTTAAAACTTCCAGAGTTTGCTCATACAATGGAAGAAACTTGAAAGAAGGGCATAAAGACCAGAGCTGGGGATATTGCTTGATGCTACAGTCAAGAAATGCTAGTTTGAACATCAGAACTGGCAAATCCTATTAAACTAAATTCCAGATAGAAGCATCAGTATGAGTACAGGAAAATAAGAGACTATTCCGAACGGATTTTTTAAGGTCAGTCTTGAGAGCACAGGGCCAAAATATGGAGGGAGAATTATTAATAATTTTTCTTTTTTAAGTAAAGCAGATCAATGGATTTGTATCAGTACTGTAAGTACAATGTGAAACCTAAAATACGGGAAGAGTGCCTCCTCTCCCCCCCAAGTCAACCATTCTCCTTGTGACTGCATCAACAAAAAAGAGGAAGTGAAGTAAATTAAAATACACCATCATAGCTTTCCTACGAACTATGCTTGGTGTTCAGCAACATCATCTGTTTTCATAAAAATATACACTGTTAATCAAATATGTATTAAAGTTTCAAAAGCTCTATAATCTGTATATTGCCTTCGCAAAACCACAGAAGTTAGTTCCTTTATTTTCCCTTTACAATAGTCTTAACTTTGCAAGCACGAATTCTTGATATTTAACATATAATCCAAATAATTGATCATAAGCACAGAATCACTCTTTATTTCCTCTGACACTAAGTGCCAATTTAAATAGCCAAAAGCAGGAGGTGTTTTAAAGATGCAATTAATGATTCTGGTATTTAAAAACAAGGCTTCTGCTTTCTGAAAAGACAACTTACCTCTACGACCAGGAACACCTCGAAGTCCAGGGATACCTCTCCCTGGTGCCCCTACAAAATGTTAGGTCATATTATACTCAGTAGTCCTGAAAAATTGCTAGAAAACATCATAGTTATCTAATATTTCACACATTTCTTCAGAATTCACTAATATTCTTCAAAATAACAATGGTTATTTTCCATTGGTTCTATCCAGAAATATGAATTATATTTGTAAGTTTTCCTTTAAAGTGGGAACTCTTATTTACCAGTTGTATTTGAGGTACAACCTATAATAATAAGATTTGCTTTTTTTTTTTTCCCCCCAGAGGAAAAAAGCAGAATAAAAATCTGTATTTCTGTTACTAAGAAAAATAAGAGAAAAACCATACATACCTATAATTACAACAATGATTACTCAAAACTTAATATAGAAAGACTTATTAAATACTATAAATGCTTTTCCAGTATATTTTTTGTAAATACTAATATACAAAAACATTCTCACTGTAAAATATGAAAACATTTTGTCAGAATTCAGCAGAGGACTGTATGCACGGATACTGATGACATCATATTTAAGTGAAAGATTTTACAACTCAAAGGCTAGGTCATGTAAACATTCACAGTTCATGTGAGTAAACACTGATTTGTTTCATCCTATTTCCACAAAAGAGCTGAGACTTCTTTACAAAGATTTTGGTTCTCTTAATTATTTTGAGATGGAACACAGAAGAACCACACGATACTTATGCTCGTGCAGACATTAATATTTTAAGGGGAAATTAGGACAAATCATATGCATAACAGAGGAGTGACATACATTTGTGTTGTTAACAGCATGTACGATTATGTAGAAAAACAGTGAATTATGTGCAATTTAAAAGCCTTCTACTTATTAACCTATCTTTGGATCCACAAAAGCTCCTTATTAATACTTTCCAAAAAATCCTTATCAGTTCAGCTAGGGAAAAAAAAAAAAAGTAATTTTAAAACAGAATGAAAATATTTCACTGTTGTTACCTGGTTCTCCCTTTACTCCTGGGGGACCAGGCATACCATCCCGACCCTGATTGCCTCTTTCACCAGCAAGTCCATTTTCTCCAGGGTATCCAACAGCACCTGTGAATTATGAAGGACCACAGTATAATTTTCATTTTTTTTATTTTACACAAAGAGAGAAGATATGAATCCCCTTTTTAAAGATTTTATTAGTGCAAGTGCAGCTACTTCAATGATAGAAGCAACTATCTTGGTACATAAGCATTTGTAAAGAGCAGAATATAATTATTGAGTCCCCTGACCTTCAAGAAACTTAGCACTCCCACTATTTCCACAGGCATTAACCTCCTGCCTTTCAAAGACGTTTTAGGACTCTGCCTTTGATTTAATCCATGCTGGTGGGAATCTGTACAGGTAGTATGGTTCCGCTCCATAAAAATTCAACTTTCCTGTAAACAGCGAGTAGATTCTGATCTACTCTCTCGCTACGTCTGTGTAAGTTCACTAATATGATCCACAGAACCGCAATGTAATGTATACGAGGATCTGCATAAGAGAACATTCAATACGCTTTTTGAAGATAACGACTGTCACCAACATTAATGTAGTCTCCATATTGTTGCTGCATATCGACACAATCCCCCTTATGGTTTTTTTTTGTTTGTTTTTGTTTTGTTTTTGTTTTTAATGATTTAATCTTTTCTTTTGTGAAAGAAACAAATGACTGCAACTCTGCCTTTCCCCTCTTTCAACTTTAATTTATTCTTCCTCCTTGTATAGCTACATCTTAGGTTATTATTTTCTTTTAGGAGGTAAAACAAGCCATTCCTACGATATATGTGGATATTTCATCTTGAGAACTCTGAATTGAAAAAAAGAAGAGCAGTAAGTTCTACAATAGTGAAACAAAATTAAAATTTCTTGCCTCAGCTGAATTAGTAACATTGAGAACAGGCTGTTAAAGACTTTAGCTGGAACTGGAGAAGGTAAACAGAGCCTCCTACCAACATAAACAGAGACTGCAACTATATCAGGTAAATTCTAAAAAGCTCGGAAGAATATCAACTGCCTCATCACAGAGAAAATAACGAGCCAGAGGGCAGTGATTTGGGAGAGATGCTATATACCATACCAGGAGGGCCTATAATGCCCTGTTGTCCTGGGCGACCCTGCTGTCCTTTAACACCAACATCTCCAGGAGGTCCAGGTTTCCCTGTAAGAAGAAAGAATTTGGGGGAGGAAAGCTGGCATTATCACTTGCAATTCAGTTCAGCACTAGGCCCAGGCACAATCTGAAAACCCTGCTATTGTTTCTACTTCACCCAGCTGGGACCTATCTCTAGCTAAAATAAGCCAGCCTGGCTGTGCTGACTAAAAAGGAGCTGTTCGCATTTACAACATTTTAATGTAAATGTGCCACCCCACAGGCACCCTGCATAGTATTGAGAAATTCTCTTCTTCTAGAAGCACATCAGCATCTCAACACTCCTCCAAAGCAAAACATACCTGGGATTCCTGCAACTCCTGTTTCCCCTCTGATCCCTTGTGGCCCTGGTATTCCTCTATGTCCTGGCTGACCTTGGGACCCTTTTTCTCCTTTGCTGCCCAGAAGTCCAGGAGCACCTGAATCTCCCTAAGAAACAGCAGTTGCACACAAACAGGTAAAGAATCACATTGTATTAAATACATTACATGCATATGAACAATAGAAAAATATATAATTTTAATGTTTAAGTTTAATCATGGTTCATTATGATTTTCAGATGAAAATCAAAGACGATTAATATGAAGTCTTCTCATAACAGCACTGATCCTTTAGACATATCTAACAAGCAATGTCTATCTTTAATCTGTACAAACCAAGTTCAGTCTTAAAGTATTTTCATAGACTTTTCTCCAATTTTATTCTAACTCCTCTTTTGAACCAAAAATACATACCTTACATAATACACATCTATACAAAATAACAAAACATATATTTATTTGAATTCCTACAAATTTGCACAACAGCAATCCCTTTTTGGATACGCAGCTAATAAAGAAACTAACGGATAATTTGGACAAATTACAGGAGTTACAGTACAGTTTACAGCCAGCAACATATTTTAAATTATCTCATATGTAAAGATTCACAGTTGTTCAACAACCAGGATATGTGGAGTAAAATTTTCTAACTTACTTTTTATATTATATATTCCTAAGACAAAAATGCTATTAATAGACTTTCAAAAACCAACAGAAAAATTTTAGATCACACCACTTTACTACTAAGATAATTTTTCTGAAATTCTTGATGTACAAATATTTCTACCATAGACTTTTTGGACACAAATCATTGTTCCTAGCAAGTAAGTAACTTTTACAGAAACAATGCTATTTCCAAGCCACTACATTTTTACAAATAAGAAATTCTTGCATTGCAAGAAAAATGAAATGCAATGAACTCAGCATGTTCTCCTAAATACTGACCTAACGGGATTTCCATATGTATCATCACTAAGCTATCATCTACCAATCTCCTGAAAACTCTGCAACTCTTGCTTACATGTTATTCTGTTTCTGTTGTCAAAGGCTCTGCTTATTGCTTAATATGACAATGTTTCCACGGCCTTTATACCTTTGGACCAGGTTCTCCTGGGGGCCCAGGAGATGGGTGCCCAGGGTCTCCTTTTTCACCTGGAAAGCCACCATAGCCTGTTGGACCAGGGTCACCTGATGCTCCTGGAAAGCCTGGAGATCCTTTCTGTCCTTTTGAACCTGGAGAAACACAGATAGCAATTACATTCTTAAAAGGATCATCATCAAATATTACATCTCTTACTTTGTTAACTATTGCTTGTATTTTCATATTCACTTTTTCCATCAGAGATAGAATAATTTTTGTGCACTCAGTGATTTTTACTCTAAACACATTCAAACTAGGTTCTTATAAGTATCAGTATATAAATTAATTATATGTAATTTATTACCTGTAATTTCAATAGTCAAAGCTTACAAAAATAAAGACCCATGATCACTGGGCAGACATTTGGTTACAAAGTCAGATAGAGCCACTATATGTCACCACATCCTAACTAATTAACACCCTGAAATTGTTATTCGGAAAGTTACTATAAGCTATATACTGAGATGGCCAGCTGCAATACATCGGTAATGTCATGCTCCAAAACTAGACAGAGGGAGAACTCCATTCTGCAATTCAAGCAAATGGTGGGGTGATGAGAAGTTTACAGGCACTGCAGAGAATAAATCCCAGTCTGAGTTAAGTATTGTGTAGTGTGCTTACAGAAACACCTCAGACCTGTGTAAAGGCTCTACCAATTTGCAACATAACGTGAGAAAATAACCTGGAATTCCCATGTTCCCTTTGTCTCCTGGTGCACCTGGGAATCCTTGTCCTCCAGGAATACCTGGAAGACCCATAAATCCTTTGGCACCTGCAAGATGAAGAAATGAGCGTCATCTTCACGTGTCCAGTTTAGACACCGGCTGGCTGGCAGAGTTGTGATGAATACAGAATCCTCTCTCTCACACACTGCCATGGTACTTTTTGATTTTATAAATCAACAAACAGTGAAGCATAATTCTTCCTCTTGCTCTAGAAGCACATAGAATTATCATTAATGTTGTCAGGAAATCAAGTTAAAAAACAAGTATCTTCTGTATGTATCAAAATATAGCATACAGAGAAGTAAAGATGTTTTAATTAATCTGAAAAAATAGGTTCATTTTCTCACTCAAGATCAGCATGTATCATTATGGATGTGGGCATAGCGATGGCAGAGCAAAACCTTTGTGAAATGGCTTAGGTAGGTCTATAATTACATTGGTTCTTTTTAAGACTACTTTTAACTGAAGACCTGTTAACTTCCAATATATAAGCCAAATATGAAGGCCTTCAACAGGGAAATAGAATCAATCTTAAATACAAAAAGCTTCTGAAATATTTTGTGCACACCTATGGTAAACTTAGAATTCCTGCTGCTTCTTTATGATAGTAGGAATCAAACTTCTCTTAAATTTTATAAATACCAAGTTTTATTCATTGGCCTCACCAGCTTTTAGATTTTAAGGTTATTATTATTTTATATTATTTAAAGTTAATATTATTTTCTATGTATCACCTCACATAATCATCCACATTTGGAAGGAAATAAAGAATCATTCAGTTGTAGCTAGTATGACTTTGAAATAGCAGCTTTTGAAATTGCTCCATTTCAGAATTCTCAGAGAAGCTTCAGAGTTAATATAGAAAACAGAGTGCTGCTGCTAGAGTTAAGTTTATGCGCTACTGCTGAGGTAACACTATCCTTGCTCTCCATTCTGTGATAACAGTAATTTTCAATATACATACTCCATACCTGGTATACCAGGTACTCCTTCAGATCCAGCAAGACCTGGGGGACCTTGTACACCTGCATATCCTTTTTCTCCTCTTAGACCCATGCTTCCTTGGACTCCTAAAACAATTTCATTAAACGAACACACATACAACAGCATTTTAGAAGATAAGTTTATATAAAGTTTAACATTTTATAACTCTTAAAACTAATGAAGCCAAAGTGGAGCACAGGACTTTTACTTTGCAAGAAACACAAGCAAGACACAAGCTCATGGTTAATGAGTTCTGTATTTCCTATATGGAGATGAAAGGAAATTTCTGAAACCTACCACACAAAATGTCTACACAAAAAGCCAGATAGCATTAAATATGTGCAACTTGTATACAGAGAGTCTATATTAATATTACACATAAAATAATAATTCTGGCAGTCAAATATTTCTAAGCAGACTTCATTTCTTTGAAATCCAGCATCCAGTTGGTAAGCACAACCATTTCTGTGCTCATGGACTACTAAATCATAGAATCATTTAGGTTGAAAAAGGCCTCTAAATTATCAATTTTAACTTTGCACTGCCAAGTCTACCATTAAACCATGTCCCTAGGCACCACATCCACATGTCTTCTGAATACCTCCATGGATGGTGACTTAACTACTTTGCTGGGCAGCCTGTTCTAATGCCTCACAACTTTTTCAGTGAAGAAAATTTTTCCTAATATCCAACCTAAACCTCTCCTAGCACAACTTGAGGCCATTTCCTCTTGTCCTATTTCTTGGTGCCTGGGAGAAGAGATTGATCCCAACCCCACTAAAGCCTCCTTTGAGGTAGCTGTAGAAAGTGATAAGGTCTCCCTTGAGCCTCCTTTTCTTTAGGTTGAATAACCCCAGTTCCAATTAGGTACAAAGCTGGCCAGAGCCATGAGGTGCAGTAGGGAAGATGGGTGAAGTGTGTAGAAACATGACTATGTAAGATGCATATATATAAATTTACTACCTGTGACGCTTTATTACTAATTTGACATTACAATGAAAGGATTTTTAAGGAATATAGGACTTGTTAAAATGGAAATAAATGTTTGGTGTAACATCCAACTACCCCATAAAAGGCATTTATGGTGTTTGGCAAAAATTATTTCAAAGCCATGTCAATACTTTAAGTAGTTAAGCCAGTTTCTTCCATTTGTTAGAGCCCACTGGAACTGCCACACAGCTAACTCTACCTGGTTTTGAATGACAGAAAAATGAATAGGTACCTTTTGGGCCTTGCTCTCCTTTATTTCCAATGCTAACCAAGGTCTCAGAAGGTCCAGGAAAACCTTTATCACCTGGTTCACCTTTTGCTCCAAGAAACCCCTTTCTTCCTTTTAGCCCTGGGAAGCCAAAAGAACCTGCAAGAAAATACAATGACATTTTCTGAAGCAGCGTGTCTAGGTGACAGCACGTAAGGAAAGCAATTAAACTCCATCTCTAAGGTCAACAACATATGTAAGTACACATGCCAAATCAACAACTTAAACCAGCTTCTTGATTACTCAAAACATCAATAAACGTTTATGACCATGGATTATTATGAGAAATAGTTATGGTATCTTGGCATGAATATAAATATAATCTTATAGCTGTTAAACAGACATAATATGTTGAATATGAATGAGACAAAAAAAAAGGGGGGGGGGGCAAAAAGCTCTCTTCTTTATTTAGAAAATCTCAAACCATTTTCACACATACCTGTGAAATGGAAAAGGTGGCAACTCAATATTGCTAAAAGAAAATGTAATTCAGCCTGTAGACGGCACAGGTACAGAAGTCAAATATTTACCAAAGCACAAAGAAGTTCTGGTCATTAATTGACCAGCACATACTCAGGAGTGATAACACATCAAGATTGATCACAAGTCTTCTTCAGCATGACAGTTCCTATATTCTTAAGGAATAACAAAAACAGATACTATAGTCACTTACCCCTGACACCTGGGTTGCCTGGACTTCCAATCATGCCTGGGGGTCCAGGAATTCCTAATGGGCCCATTATACCTGGCTCTCCCCTAGGGCCTGTGGAAAGGAAGCAATAGGAACTTATTTAATCAGTGAAACATCAGAAAGGCATGCATGTAGCTGTCAGATAGTTAATCAATTCTTTTAACATTTTCTCCATTTCTATAACATGTCATAGAAGCAAGTTTTCCAGCTTTTAACTACATGAACTGCACTTACATACAGATTAATGTAGGTAGTCTGAGGGGTTACTAACAGCTGCAACAGCTTCAATCAATGAATGAAACAATTAAGAGTGATTAATGTATCTGAGATAGCCATCCTAAGCTGGGAGACCCATATCCGTCACAAGATGTATGGGAAAGACATTCCTTTCTGGCTCAGGAGCTAGAGGCCAGCTGGGACATGACAGCTCATCTCAAATGGCATTAGAAGCCTAGGTTTGGCCTACAACTTCATCTTTAGTTTTACAGGTTGTATATATAAAAAGGTATCTAGCATCTCCTTGCAACAGGATAATACAGGATTTGAGAATAACGAAAAATCTTTTTTAGAGATAAGCAGCATTACATACCCAATTTTTTGTGCTCTACAAATCAAGTTTGAACACATTTCTAAAAGAAAAAAAAACAAACCTATGGGGATTACTTACTTAAGTAAAGTCAGCTCTGGTTAACATGATGGAGTCTGATCTGAGTCACAACTCTCATAGACTCAAGGTCTTCTTGTTGTTTCTTTTTTCTGTTTCAAAAGGGATGCCGAGTAAGATCTTACCTTACACTTTCATTATGCTGGGAAGCAGCTTTGAACTAGTTAAGTGTCCTGTTGCAAGAATGTTGCAGTACAGAAAACAATGGGAAGTAGTTTCCTATTCTAAGTGGAGTGCTGTAGAATATTCAATACTCGGTCATCATAGCTTCACGATATGCTAGTCATTCAGGGAATGACAACTGACTTGTTTTCCATATAGATCATATAAATGTATATATGAAAGCTGCTAATGGAAAATATTTCTGCATCCTCAATTTACAGTCGATGGCATGTTAGCATGACTACTTTTTGTAGAGACTGACTAATTTTCTATGTCAAAACAGGTATTTGGGGAATCCTTACCTGGCACACCATCGATTCCTGGTCTTCCAGACTGTCCCTTGAAACCAGGTAATCCTGCGTTTCCCTGAAGACCGATTAAGCCAGGTTCCCCTGGTTTTCCATAGATTCCTGGGATACCCAAGCCAGGAGGACCAAGTTTTCCTTTTGAACCTAATGAACCTCTTCCTCCTAAGAAAAATGCATGACAGTATATGTAGGATACTTCTTGCTGGAAACCTTCATCTCTATCTTGCCATCATGAGTATCAAGCTCTTCTTGAGCCTGTTTGAGGGCTATACAGTAAATCTATACAAGACAATATACACATTAAGGAGATCTTGAAGAGATTTAAAAGAAAAAAAAAAGACAGTAGAGACAAAAATAAAACAAAACAAACACCCCACCAATTCTGCATTCATCCTCCAAACACTCTTGAGTATGCATTTTCATTCCCCCACAGGATGAAAAAGTCTTAATCCATTTTAATTAGTACATGTGTTTTCCTCCAATCCATAGACTATGCATCTTTTAAATGTGATGTTGCATAGTAACCTATAACCAATATCCATAAACAACTTCACGTCCCGCATGATATTTGAAGGCATAAATATAACCCAGTCACCCGGCCAAATGGCACATTTGAGTTGGAAGGTCCTACCTGGTGGGCCTGTAGCTCCCTGGCCACCTGGCAAACCTGGCCGGCCAGTAAGACACTCAGCAGGTTTCCCTGGAAAACCTGGATCCCCTGGAACTCCAGGTGAGCCAGGATCTCCTAAAAGAAAGGAGATTGGTTTCATAATGATTTAGATAGTAGTTTGAGGCTTTGAGTGAGCATTGTTTGACTTGGTTTCCTTTCCTTAACACAGGGAGGTAACTTGCTGTGTATCTGGTGCTTGTTTGACCACAGTACCTCTTAGGCCATCATCACCATCACGTCCAGCACGTCCTGGTAGGCCTGGAAGTCCTGGAAATCCTGTATCACCTTTTGGGCCAGGAATGCCACGACCTCCTGGTGAACCAAGTCTGCCTGGCTCCCCATGAATAATCATGCCTGGGTCCCCCTGCAACACAGAGATGTAAACAACACACTTGTACTACGTTTTGCAAGTCTGTCAAAATATTCTTTCCTCCCCACAATCAACTAGCTTCTTTAATTAGGGTTATCACCTCCATACCCTGGGGATCTTTCACATTTGTAATGGCTGTAGTTCAGTAGATCACTGGATGTTCCTTATTGACCACCTGCAGGTTCCACACCAGAAGATTAATTTGTCTAAACAGCTTTTGAACTGTCTCATTGCTCTAAGAAATTGTTCCTGAGCATTACGAGACATCTCTTTCTCTTTGGCTGTTACTGCATTACGATGCTTGCTGTAACTATGTAAGGTGTTGGACCTGTACGTAAAAGTTTGTGCAAATACAATTTTTCCTTTATTTTACATGGTAGTTGTATTTTCATCATAATATTTATTGAAATAATCAAAGTCAGCACCCAGATATGTCTCAGAATACTTAATTACTGCATTTTTACCCCTGTAATTTTTCTGAACATTGTTTTCTATGAAGACTGATTTTACGATAAATATCTGAAGTCTATTTCCTGAAAGGAAAAGTTGAAATGTTTTTTCTTATTGGCTGACCAAACTGCTTGTTGTTTTGGGTACTAGTTTTGAATATGAGCAAATCAATATGTTCTTAAAACAGGCCAGTAGAGCTGAGATTATACCAGTCATTGATTACATATTTGGACCAGAAAGGTCACTCCAAATCCAGCTGTTCTGGTTTCAAGCACAGGGTAAGTAATAATTAAACAAAACAAAAATCCCCATACTTTATCATATCAGAAAAACACATAAAAGAATGACATATGGGCATAAAAACAAAAAGTAATGCCACCTTTTCAAAACAGTTAAGTGTTACTATTTTGTTCACATTTGGATCCTAATTACAGAGTAGTCAAGAGTGCTACCTTTATATATTTCATCAGTAATTTCTGAATAGCCATGTCTTCAGAAACTGTGGCTTTAATTTTTTGCTGTAAGCAATGCAGTATTTTTCTTATGCTCTGAAAATTGAAGTATCTAAAACATCCCAACAACTTGGGAGTTCTGAAATCCCGTATCTCTAGTTAAAATTTGACTTGACAACTTCTTTCATAAAATATTTCATTTTATAGTTTGTGCATCACTGGTCAGAAAATACAGGAACTCTTATTTTCCATGCACTTATTAATTTATTTGCTTAATGTCACAGTTAATGAATGGGACCTATGGAAAAGTCTGTGCTGTATTTCTAGTCAAACCTTTTCTCCTGGTTGTCCCAGATTTCCAGCTCGTCCTGGCTCTCCAATTTTTCCTTCACAACCTGGTGATCCTCTGCCTCCAGTAAGTCCCTTATCTCCTGCAAAAGGAATTATATGTCAGTATAAAAATACCCCTTATTTTAGAATGGAGTATTTGTATGGCTGTGGTTATGGACTTCTGCCCTATTGTAGGTTACACGAGCTGAAAACAAAATCCTGATACATTTGACACATTGCATCTTCCCTCAACACTCATTGTAACACTGCTCAGTTATGTGCTTCAAAAACATACTGCATTAAGTAACTGATTTGGAGTGAACCTATTCTGATGCCAGTTCCTCACTGTTCTCTTCAAAAAACTACACTGTAGTAGTTTTAGTATTCTATTTCTCTCAAATACTTCAAAATATTTCAAAAACAAAATCACAAAAACCCCTCAAAGGCAGTAAATTACACGAGAGCTGAAAGACATCTGATTAATGCTCATTCTTTTTTTTTTTTTAAAGATGAATGTTGTCAATCCAGATTTAAAAAAAAAAAAGGTAGAAGTTTTTTTTTTTTTTTTTTTTTTTTTTTTAAAGAATATCAAAAAGTGTATTTTACCTTTTGGACCTGGGTTTCCAGGAAACCCAAGCCCTGGAAAGCCTGTGTCACCTGTTGGCCCTGGATGTCCTGGATCACCTGGCTGACCGTTTGTTCCGACCCTTCCTGTTCAAAGAAAGTAAGTAAATTGCAGTCTGTTTTACCACACAACACGTGACGACGGGGTGTTTTCCAGCTTATCATTATTAATTAGGACATGAGTGTAGATGGTATCATTAGAACTTAGACACTATTTTTACTTCACAGTAGTTAAAATGCTAATTGTGATCTCTGTGTTCTCAGTATCAAACCGTGCACGAGTCTGTTAAGTCTTTATGCAATTTGCCCTTGATACGAAATCCTTCATAGAGTTCTCCCAAAATAACCCAACAGTTTTATCTGGCCAGAGTTGGTAGACAAATCCCAATCAGGTCATCTCTAACTTTGTCCTTTGAGCAAACATACTCACCAGGCACCCCTGGGGGTCCAGGTAAACCATCTGGTCCTTGAGGTCCTGGCAATGCAGGCAATGGAGTTATCCTACTGGTCTCTCCTTTCAGACCTTCAGTAAATACATTATCAAAGTCTTACAGTTTGGAAATAGTTTAAAAATACATAATTTGCAATTTTAAAATATTAATGAGCAAGCTAGTTAGTTAAAAATCTGGTCTGCTATTGTTTCCATCTTTCTGAGGCTCCAACAGATTTTGAAAATCCTTCAAACCCTGACTTCATAAAGCAAAAGAATTTTATTGACACCCAGACCACCTCAAGCCCTTCTCTCAGCCCTCCTACAGTCTAACAGAAACCCAGAGAGCACAAAATAATTTTAAGTAGGGAATATGAGTTATTGTCAACATCAGGTCGAGGACCCTCAGAACAGATTAAACAAACAAACAAACAAAAAAACTCACAATTAGCAAAGTCTCCAACAGTGATTCATGTGCATTTCCTCATACAATGTGACAACCCCAGACAAAGTGACAAAGACTCAGATTGACACACTCTGAATGTTTCATCCCTTTGGATAATAAACTCACATCTTATATCAGTCAATAGCAAAAGCATGGGTATATTGTGCCCAACATATCACTGCAGTTATAAGCACTAATCCCCAGAATCCACTGGATTTAAAATTCAAAAATTCTCTTAAGGAGTGACTTGACTGTATCTCTCCTGCCCAGCTTCGAGTTCTTCCAGATTATACTTGTCTATAAATAAATACACTGGTATGTTTCTGGCACTCCAAAGTGATTAAGTCCTTCATATTTTCTTCTGATGACTTAGCTCACACTAATGATGAGAAATGGATCTATAGTCAAAGAATTTTTTTTCATGATGAGGACAGTCAAGCACTGAAACAGGTTGCCCAGAAATTCTGTGCAGTCTTTGTCCTTGAAGGTTTTCAAGTATTATTCAGTCAAGACTTGAAGTAAGCATTCTCTAATCTCATAGCTAACCCTGCTCTGAGCAGGAGTTTGGACTGAAGACCTCATAAGGTTCCTTCCAGTCTCAATTATCTTATGACCCTAAGACGTTTGCTATTATATCTAGTGAAACCAAAGATGGAACAACGCTTTGGAAATCTCATCCCAAGAAAAATCTTCCTACATTTCATAATTTATGTCTTTGCCTTCAATCTCTCTCTGTAGTTGAAAACTTTAACATAGGTAAAGAAAAGTAAAACAGTAAGTTACAAACCAGCTTCTCCAGGCAATCCAGGAGGACCAGGTACTCCTTTAGAGCCTTTGAAACCTCTTATTCCTTGTGGTCCATATCCTGGTGGTCCAGGAAGCCCCATCTCTCCAGGGAGACCAGGATTACCAGGCAGTCCAGGTAGTCCTCTATCTCCTTTTGTACCAGGCAATCCCTATTAACGATATATATGTCTGTACACCAAGCATTACTTGCTCTCCGTGCCAGCTTTCACAACAAAATGCCTCATACTCTGTATGACTGATCTCATACTATTTTAGCAGCAGAGTAGTTCTGCTGATTGAACAGGACTTTTTCAACCAATTTACTTGTGATGAAACAAATAAGAATTTTAATATCAATGCTTGTAAACTGTAGGGCATTCATCCATTCTTTCTATTAAAATTGAAAAAGTACAAAACCAGCTTGATTTTCAATTACCATGGCATTATGTTGTAGGACTTTTTTATTTTTCAAAACACATTAGGGAAAAAACCTATTTCAGCACTCATTTGCCTTAAGTACTAGGGGGTCAGGTTTAAAAATAGCAATATCCGAATCACTTTTACAGTTTCTCAGCCAACACAGTGCAACAACAATTGCTAGTTTTTCATTTCTGCTGATCCAAGAGCTCTGCCCTAAGAAAGCTAGTCTTAAAGTAGTTCTCGCAGCTTTTGTGATTTCTCTCAGCCCTGATGGGAGATTAATTCCTGAAGACCAAACTGGTATTATTTGTACTATTATTTCACTTCAAGCATTATGACTAGACAGAAAAACTATTTTTATTTGTTTGGTTTTGGTCCGTGTCTTATTATTCAGAGCAATCAAAGATAACACTCCAATACAAATGTCCAAACTAACAGCACAATAAACTAATAAACTGCTGAGGCTTTGCAGCAAGCATGCATCCACACTAGCCTCATTTCTCCCTGGTATTACATAAGAATATTTATTCTAATTCTTTTGTTTCCACTTACGTGTACTGTTTGCTATAGTTGAGCATAGCACCTCTAAGTCAGGCAGATGATTCTCAGTTAAAATACTGGACTAGGTAGAACAGTGTCATACAAGATACAACCACTGACTTAGCTTTTCATGAACTTCTATGTTAATTGCAAACAATGCATACCTACCTCTTCACCTTTAGAACCCTTGTAGCCCTTTGGTCCAGATCTTCCCGGAAATCCACTTGAACCTTTTCTTCCTTTGTCTCCCCTGGACCCTGGATCTCCTTGCTCACCTTTTGGCCCTTCTGGATACACGTATCCTGGCTCACCTTTTGATCCTTTATGTCCTTGATCTCCTTTAAAACCTGGAGGTCCCTGGAACAAAGAAAATTTCAGTGCTAAACATGTCAACCATTTTCACTGTTTATCTTTTTAAATTAAATACCTAAGAACAGTTCTCCTTATTTGTATCTTATTCTCTGTAACTGCCCACTCCAACTACTGGCATAAGCAGAAGGACAAGAAAAAAAACAAACCACCTTAAAATCTGATTAGAGAGGACATTGTTCTCTACAAGGAAAGATCTCCCTAGGGATACCAGAGCCACCACAGCTGTCTGTCTGTAGCTAACTTCTGTGCTTTTTTCTTAACCCCTCAGGGCACAATGTGGAACTGAAAGCACTCAAGCACACCTGGGCTCTAGTGGGATCTTGGGCTCACAAATTCTTGGGAGTTTTCTGGAAAAACTTGCTAGCAGGCTCTTTCAATTATGCATCTATATGACAGCCACCACAATATATTCTTGTGCATGACAGTTTTGTTTTGGGCAGTGTTTTCTGTAATCTCCCAAGAATTATTACTACTACAGGCACAAATTAGAACTACCAAGTAGTATGTCTGTGGAAGGTGCTTGCCTTCCCACTCCAGCAAGTTTCCCAAATGCCTCTTGAACACTTACAGACATGGGGAATCAGCCACCTCACTGGGAAGACTGTCCCAGCATTTGATCACCCTCACAGTAAAGAGCTTTTTCCTAACATTCAGGCAGAACCCCTTCCCTGGCACAGCTCTATGCTGTTCCCTTGTTCCCTCGCATCCTATCACTAGTTACCGGGGTGAAGAGATCAGCACCTCTCTCTCCATTTCCCCTACTCAAGAAGTTGTAGAGAGCAATGAGTGTGCTTCTTAGCCTTCTTTCATCCAAACTAGACAAACCAAGTGTCCTCCGTCTCTCCTCATAAGACATGCCCTCCAGCCTTTTTAATACCAACTTTGTTATCTTCCTCTGGAAGCTTTCAAGTTTCTTAATATCCTTTCTACATTGTGGAGCCCAAAACTGTACACAATACTCAAGGTGAGGCTGCAACAGAAAACTGTTGATATCACCTAATATGACACTTCATTTAATGTTGGCCATGACATTTCCATGAAATTCTTGTGGGATCTGAAAAATAATTTGGAAAATGCAAGTCTTACTTGAGCTCCTGGAAACCCTGGTGCTCCTGGAGGACCTGGAGCTCCTTTGGGACCTTGTATTCCTTCCCTACCTGCAAAAGAACAAACATATTTTGTAAATAAAATAGAAAATAAGGAAATGGATTTTGACAAGCTCTGATAATCACACACAGCCCTGTATGTTACTCCCATTCACACTCACTGCATGAGCATAGACTGACCTGGCTTCAGGCTACACCTAAGCCCATTACCATTTAGTCTTCAACTCTTTCAGGGCTTGTGCTCACATCAGCAGATGGAGCTGCATTATGCTATCACACTCATCACAACCTCACGGCTACTTCTGGGATCTGGAATATTGCACGATGCAGACATGCTCATACCTGTCCTGATTCTCATGCTAAAAGCAAAAGCAGTGTCATTTCCTACCATCCTGTTAGAAATACTGAGATAATTTACCTGGGATGCCATCCTGGCCGTGTGGCCCAGGCGAACCAGGAAGACCAGGTGTTCCCGGAACATAGCTACAATCAGTACACACGCAAGCTTCATCACCTAGAAGGAATACAATTCATTAGTTGTTCCACACAAAGCAAGTCCCAAGCTGAACTAACGTGTTAATTTTTTTTTTCTATAGAGGGTGGTCAACACCTCTTGGTCAAAGAGCAGTAGGCATGTGACCTTAATTTTGATGGAAGATCACCTCCAACACAGTACAATTTCACTTGTGGTCAGACAGTGAATCAGAACTGATTACATTTAACTGAAAACATAGGGACACACAATTTAAATCTCTCTCTCTCTCTCTCTTTTTTTTTTTTTTTTCCAAGTCTGGTTTCAGTAAGCTATTTGGATACAAACACTCTATCAATAGGCCAAATTCTCTCAAAAGAAGAAAGGCACACAGGCTTTGAACTAACATGGCTTCATAGCAGCCTGAGTGACTTTAAAGACTGGCAGGTGGCATTTAACCAACAAAAATTAGCAGCTCCTGTGGTTATATTCACAGAATGAACCTTCTTTCAAAGAACAACCATTAGTGCTGACATAACAACACAGAAATACAAAAACCCCACCAACCTGTAATAAGTACTGTCCAGAGAAGAACTACACCCTGGCTGCAGTGCTTTACAACTGGTGCTTGGCACTGGCACAGGCACTGTTCTCAGTCACTGTTTACAGGGAGGACATCTTGCTATCCCTAATGAATTTTTTAAAAATCTCTGAAGTCATCAAATAGCTTGAGAGGTCAATTAATTTCAAAATTTCATGAGGATCTATGAAGATAAATGGATTGTACCATCAACTTCTAAGCGGTAGCTTTCAGAAAGGAAGTAGAAATGGAAAAAATGATTTTTCAGCTCTGCATCTTAGTTGTCAGTTGAAAAGGCCAGTAACTGTCAATAATGATATGTTCCTGATCTCATTCAGAGAAAACACTCCCACGCAAAAAATGTGGTACATGAAAGTGAAACGTACAGAACCCTGTACCAAGAATGAACATGAACTTTTTCCACTCTTTTTTAATTTCTCATAATTTATACATGCTCTCTTGAATATGGAAGGGCTTGCTCCAAAACCGTAAGATTACTCTGACAGTTTTGTTATCCCCTGTTGAGTGAACACTATGTCAGTCCTTCAAACAGTCTATAAACACAGTAACTGACCTTTCATGCCAACATCTCCTGGAGGTCCTGGAGGTCCTGCATACCCTGGCTCTCCAGGACGTCCTGGTGGGCCTGTTCTAAATATTACTCTACCTGTGAATGAAATGAGCATGGCACCATTACATTTACAGATTATCCAGACATTCTCTATTTGCTAAGGCAGAAAAAAGGTGCAAGGATGATCTGGAGACAGTATTCATTTAAAAGAGAACTACCTGGACAAATCCACAACTCCTTTAACTGGAATTACTTGAGGAAAAATATGGTGATTCTAAAGTAAATCTCAGCAGACTGCTAGATTTATCTGTCTAGCCAGGGGGCTGCCTTTAAAAAGCACAGTTCCTCCTTTGGGAAGTATTTACATTCTAACAGAAACATAATTCTTTCTTTTCCAGCTTTGGATGGAAAACTTTTATTTATAAATTATTAATCCTGCTCAAGTATCTTTATCAGAATTATTCTGCTGTATTTACTATTACTCTGGAAAAAAAAAAGATGACATATTGAGCTCTTCCTAAGGCAATCATTTTGAGGACAGATTTTTTATTTTAAGAGAGGAAAGATAAGCATTACATCTGTATTATTTCTGAAAACAACTTGTTTTGGCCATACCACATGTAAAGGAAATACGATGCTGTTTGTACTCCTAGTTTAAGAGGTACTCCTGGTTAATACACTTTCTAAAAGCTGTATGAACTGGAACTACTCAGCTGGTTCAAAGCTGCTACTGCTTTGTTTTCATGCTGCCAGTACCTCAAGTCTGCTCTAAGGCCCACTAAGACCTAGGAAGGCATGCAAGTGATTTTTCTAACTTTTAGATTAGCCCTTTCTGAATTTAGTTTTACAGATAAACTGCAATTTTTGGAACAGTTAAGAACAGATTTTTTTTCTCATTAGTCCTTCCTGTTTTTAAGTAGTATTTCTAAGTAGTATATTTTTAGTCACAGTTAAAAAAAAAAAAGTGAGAAATCTTTATATTGGAAAGTCATTGTACCTTCCCCACAGAATATCATTAGAAATGGAGCACAGAGAATTGCTACACATATTTTTTGTGAATATTCTAAAGTGAAATTTCAACAAAAAAATAAATCTATTTAACCACTTTACTCAAGATATACTCCATAAATCATATATGTATATAATCTCATACATCAGCAATTGAGATAAGCTGGAGTTGTTGCTGTGCATTATATATACAATAATGAAATGTCACCTGGTTCTCCTGGAGGACCTGGTAATCCAACAGAACCAGGTCTGCCAGTAATCCCAGGTAGTCCTGGAGGGCCTACAATGCACAAGCCTGTTTGTCCTTTTTCTCCTTTTTTTCCTTTTGGGCCAGGAAATCCCGGGGGACCTCTCAGACCAGGTCTTGACACACCTAACCAAAGAGGAAAAAATACAAAAATGATGTTAAAGAAAAAAAAAACGGAACTTCAAAGCAAAGTAAGCAAGTACTCACCAGAATGAGTGAGAGACAAACCCAGGGTTTCAAAGTTCATACCGTGAATCTGTTTTACATTGTGATATATTAAATAATCACAATGAGAATGTAAAGATATTTTAAAATGTTCTTTAATCTCTCTTGAAATGCTTGGCTCATCAAAACTTGTGGCTGACATTTTTTATTTTTATTTAATCACTATGTACACATGTACACATAGTGATTAAATTAAAATTGTGCTTCACAGACATCCAAAATTAAGATTTCACAACAGTGATTTGCTATAACTGGCAGGAAGAACAATTTTTGTGCTACTGGAGCATTACACATACCTGGTCTACCAGCACCTCCAGGAGGACCCTGTGGCCCTGCAAAAGCAACATGTTTAGAACTTGAGTTAAACCATTCTCAGCAAAGTCACTACTCAGTAACATTGACTGCAATCTTTGCACTTTTGCATTCTATGCTTATTTTATCTTTTAAGAATTTGTTTTTTTCCTCAGTAGTCGTATAGCATTTATGCAACTGTTGCACACTGGCAATTCTCACTGAAATCTGGCAAGATATGGGTGTTTACAAGAGGTAGGAATAGGACCCACCACATTTATCCTCAGGTGGGGATGCACCAGTTACTTGAGAGGGGCTTACAGGCCTGCAAACTTCCTTCTTTTTTTGCCACTATTACTTGCTGTAATAGAGATACCACTTCTTAAAAATGCATTATCTTTTCAAGGCTCAACTCTCCTCTTGTCATCCCTTGGAAGCATGTAAGTAGATTTATTAAAACAAAAGGTATTCACTGAATGCAACGTGATCACTTGCACACATGAATATTCATAAAAACAGAACACCAGAATACAGTAGGCAAGCATTTGCTGGCGAGTATGAGGTATAGCTCACAACATGCTGCCTCAGAGTTCAGCCCACAAATTATTATTACATTGTGACACAGCTCAAATAATAAATCAAGACATTTTAATTCTACAGCATGGCCAAACTAAACAAAAAACAACAACAAAAATATTATTTGGGGATGATAGGCAATAAAAATGGCATAAGAAACTCTGAAGGCTACAAAAAATAGTATGACCTTTATCAGGAAACTTAAAGCTCTGTCGTTTTGTCTATGGCATACATAAGTAACACTGATGCAGTAATCCACTAAAGTCATTATATCGGATGTGAGTGAGCTTAGATGCTCAACTCAATTATGTGCACAAAGAAGTATGCCAGCTTCATTATTTTTACAGAAATCTTACGACATATCTCAGGATAAATTTGATGGGAGTAATTTGGAAATACTCTCAGGAAAGGCAGAAGCAGGTTGCTGTGTGCTCAGAAACCTAGCCTGGAACAAACCCTTTGAAAAAAACAGCCCCCATATCCTGGCTTCTGAGATAATTTTCTTCATAGAGGCTGGTACGTGCTGTGCTTTGGATTTAGGAGAAACTTAATACTGACAACACACCAATGTTTTAGTTGTTGTAGAGCAGTACTTACACAGAGCCAAGGCCTTTTCAGCTTCTCACATCACCCTGCCAGTGAGCAGGCTGGGAGTGCACAAGAAGCTGGGAGGGGACACAACAGGGAGAGCTGACCCAAAAGGGATATTCCATAGCAGCAATAAGAACTGGGGTGGTTGGCTGGGAGAGGGGCCACTGCTCAGGGACTGGCTGGGCATTGGTTGGCGCGTGGTGAGCAATTGCATTGGGCACCACTTTTTTTGTATATATCGTTATTATTATCATTACTCTTTTCCTTTCCTTTCTGTCCTATTAAACAGTCTTTATCTCAATCCACAAATTTTACCTTTTTATTTTTTTTTTTAATTTCATTTTCTCCTCCATCCTACTTGGCAAGGGAGTGAGTGAACGGCTGTTCACTCAGCTTCAGGGGTGCTTAGCTGCTCATGGGGTTACACCACAATATCATGCTAAAAGATTGTAGTCGTGATATGCTACTCACCAGGCATACCACGTTGACCTTTTGGTCCTGGAGGTCCAGGGGGTCCTTCATCTCCCTTATCACCAACTACATACTCATAATACTCTGTCTTAATAGAAAGATTGTAAGAAAAGAATGAATAGTAAGAATGAAGAGAAAAGCACCGTGCCTCATACTGACCATTTGGTTAGTACAATGTTATGGCCTTATTCATCTTTCCAATGCTGTGACACCATGAGACCTTCCTAATCACATGTTAATTACTCACAAGTAGTCAGAAATTAAATCAAATTGGCATTACCTGTGTTACACACAGATAATACCAAAAGACCTGTACAAATAGAGAGGGCTGGGATTTTCAGCCCAGTTCCTTAATTCCCAAATAATTCCTCTGCCTGTGGATGCAATTATACAGGCAGATTGGGATTTAGAGACCCAATCAGGAATATTACAGTAGCATAAGATAGAAAATATTCTTGACAGAAACCTCTAGGAATTATAAAGTCTATTCTACTGCTTCAAATCAGATTCAGCTATACAGAAACTACTCTTTTAAGTAATCATACATGAAAACAGACACAAATCAACTAGTTAAATCACAAATGCATACAAAATTAATTCCTATTAAATTAATATTCTCAATTTATTATAGTTTAATATGATGACATTTTGAAATTTATATAAATGACAGGCAGAATCAAAATGCTATTAGCTATAGCTCTACTTTTTTCTAACTACAAATTTTTGCTCTTTTCTGGATTATTCTGAATGGGCACTTTTACCTGAAAATAAGATTATGGTAAGAGTTGTGCCTTGACACATAAACATGACACTAAAATTTAAATGGACTACTAAAACACCAATTTTAAAAGGCATAAAAAACTGTTTAAAATATACAATTTCTATTCTTCTTCTATTGATTTTTTGAAAAGCAGTGGTTTTTAGTACTCTGTCAATATCACAGTCCATTCAGCTTATTTAAAGTTATTTCTTTTTGGACAACTTGAGCAGAAAGTTTCCATTAGATGCACACAGGGCCTTTAAGAAGGACACTGGAGAGACAGCATAACGAGACAAAGAAATTGTACTCATAGTATCTGTTAGTTTGATGTTTTTTGATTTTGTTTTTTTAATAAAGAACCTTGGGATTTTCAAATTAAAAACACCTGTTTTGGAACTGATTAGTTTGGTTTTAAAAAAATCAGCTCCAGCAATGTTTGTAACTGTTCTGTGACAGTCCAGTCTCCTGCCAAAACTGCTGGAAATGAGTGAAATCTAACCAGGTGTTGATCTTCCATCCAGTTCTACATGAAGGGAGATGCTATGCCTTCGAGATGTCCAGCAATAACAGTACTTTGAGAATGACATACCCCAGTTAGAGCATCATGACATCCATTATTGCTACATACAGTCAGTTTGACTTATTTTAATGGTTTACACACATGACTTGGTGAAGATAATTTACACTTACTCGACCACAAGCTCCAGGCGGACCAGTGTTGCCTTTTATCCCCTTCATTAGAGCACAGAAATTGATTAAATTTATTTATTAAAATAAATACATGACATGACATTTGATAACCACTGTCATTTCAGTACATAGCTTATAACATTAAAGGATTAAATTCTACTCCTGAGCAGTCCTTCAGCACCCTGTCCTCTGTTCCTGCCACGACTGCTCAGCCACATGCTCCAAAAATTACAGGAGTACACCAGCAGGCAAAGATGGACACCAGTTCATGCATATCATCTATCTCAGCTGACCAATTCCCCATTCCACAATATCATTACTTGTCATCTCATACACATATTGTCTATGTAAAAACATCGTAGTGACAGTGATAAAAAAGAATATAAAATAACCCCCAAACATACCTTATCCTTATCCTCACAAACAACAAAAGCATTAGACAATACCTTGGCTCCTTGTCTGCCAGCCATTCCTGGTTTGCCCTGTTCACCCTTTTGTCCCTGCAGATGACAGTATACAATTTTATGAGAAAAAATCTTTTAGCACTGTCATCAATCAAATTTAATATTGAAAGCTTTAATCTTTCAGGGCAATGGCAACACAAATATGAGTTGCTCAGAGGAAGAAATTCCAGGGTAAGACTCGGTACAGGGCAAAGTTCCATGTCTGCAGGCATTACCACAGGTCTCATATCCAAACCTGCCTTTACAATGGCACATTCTACCAATCCCAAGATGAAGCCACTCCAGATAACACAAGTGTAAGAGGCTCTGGTTTGTCCTCCCTCTGTAAACTGCTGTTCCTGAAAGGGGAGAAACTGAACACAATGTGATATTCTCATATTCATCAACTCCATCTTGCAGACCTTGTCCAGCTAGTGTCTACTGAAGGGTGTCAGCAAGACCAGGAGAGAAAGTAGCCTTAGCAGCGGTCTGCACTATCTGCAAGTGTACGTATGTGTCAAAAAGGATTTTGCAGAGCTTTATGGAGCTGAATGCACCCCTAGTTGGTAAAAGGTAGAAACAGGAACAGAACAATGACATGTCTTTATCATGACAGAAGGCTTTTTTTCTGTTAGCTGAGTAATAAGGCAGTAGAGTCTTGCAAACTGTCATTCCAAGTTTTTTTTTTTTGTCAGACTGGAATGTGTTTAGACTGGGTGCTAAGGTTGTTTTGACACAATGAGGATGGCGTTTTAGTTAGATATTTATGAAATGGGTTATACCAACAATAATAATTCTGCTAAGATTTTTGTAAGGTCACTGTGACCCTAGTGATATCATTGAAGTGGAAGTGAATTAAATAGAGAAGAACTGGTATTTAACCAACTAAATAAGCATTCCAAGGACAATTCAACAACTTGAGCTTTTGAACCAGTATACAAATAAGATCATTTTGGGTATGAAATGATATATTTTATGAACTATATTTTGGTACTTCCTCCAAAATGATGATTTTAATATCCATCAGTCATCTCATTTCAGGCCAAGATGGTTGTGACACTGACTATAGCTTCTCCTTTTAAAGGATGTCTTTGATTTTAGTGATTAAAATTATTCATTTTGCTTCTTGATTTCTGAAGTGAAGATATAACTCTTTTGCAAATATTTCAACGTGACTAACCAGAATGAAAATCAGTAATTTTGCATAACTAAGTGTTCATTTGACCTCCATCTCAAACTCACTTGATAGTCAGAAGCAAACTACAGGTCTTTTTGTTTTACACAGAAGGAACAAGATCTATGTAGCAAACCTCTCTCTCCTGCACACATCTATGGGTACATGGTATGTCCCTAGGCCAGTTTAATGAAAAGCAATGTTTCACCATGTATGCAAATCAACATCCCCAGACACATTCCACAATGCAAAAAAGCTGTGACAGAAAGATATGACCACCAAATAAAGATGACTGTTACTTAAAAGACCTTTTGAAGGCTTCCTTCATTACCGGTAAGCCAGGTGGACCTGGGGCACCTTCTTTTCCAGGTTTACCCTACAGAGGAAAATAATAATTAAAAAAAAAATCAAAAAGAACTAAAGAAGTCTCATCGCATTCTAAGAGCATAACAACTAAATGTTGTGCTTGTAACTGTACTTTAGGTTCTTACTAATTTTGAAAAGCTCTTAGGGTATTTACTAAATGTTCATTATTTCTAATCAGAATTAATGTTTAGAAAAACAGAGGAAGATATTCCCTGGACATTCATTCTCACATGGAGAATTAACTGAGGCAGACACTTCAACAGCACAAAGCGCCAGGGAAGTACACAAAGCTTGGTGCAAAATGACGTCCCTGCAGGAGCAAGACAAGCTATGACCAAACAATACAGTGGCTAATAGCCCTTCTAGTGATGAGCATGGAAAGATACCAAAGGGAAAAAGATATGAAAGACTTACAGGATTTGGGCTTAAGAGATGGCTTGAACAGAAACTATTTAATGAAGAAGAATAGGGACTGCACTTCAAAGGTAAAGGAAGTAGGGCAGCAAATGGAAAAGTGAGAACAGGAGAAGGCAGTGTGCCAGACATATCTGTTGTTTTCCACAGTGTACAGTACATTGTGGCAGCTTTCTGCTGGCATCCTGGCTTCTAGTGTGGCAACTATGCATGAAGTTAAGCAACTTAAAAAAAAACAAACAAAACCCGAAAATGTTGTTTGTTAAAAGAAATTACAAGGGAAGGCAGAGGAGGGGGAAAAACGGAGAGCAAAACAGAAGTAAATGACAAAATAATTATGGATACCTTAACTTAACACCCTGAAGGCAGAAATCAGGAAAAGTTGGTTTGTTAAAATAGCAGGAAGGTAGTGACAAGATAAAGGGGGGTGAAAGATTATGAGTTCAGAACAACAGGAAAGAAAGTACATTTCAGAGGTTTATTTTGCACAGAATAAGTCCAAGGAAATGAAAATAATTAAAAAAAAAAAAGAAAAGAAAAAAAAAGATCAGACCATGAATTATGATGAAAGCAACAGAAAAACCAGTAATACTGAAGAGATGGCAGAACTTAACCAAAGGTTAAGGTTTAAGAGAAGAGCGGGAGCTGGAAGTAGCAGTGATATCACTAGTGACTCAAACTTATTTGCACAAAATGATCCTTTTTTTCTAGAACATGAAATTCACACTTATTTGGTATATTGTAGTAATATTTTTTTTTTAGAATGGCTGGTCAGTCAATGTCTTAACACAGTTTGTTAGAAAAGCAAGAGTGTTCTACTACTTTCTCCAGAAAAGAGGATGTGAAAGGTCAGTTAAGACGAGTTCTAGTAAAGTTTTGCATACTGTTAACATAATACAGAATACAGAAGATAGAAAAATGACAATACATCCTGGATGGCAAGAAATTTTGGTACTTTAAATTTTTGTCTGAGTTACTGCTTCAATTTTTCATAATGCATAGGAATAATAAAAGTAAACATTGGGCTGGTCTACAGCATCATTGTTGTTAAAGCACCACGCAAGTGAAGAAAGAGCAATCTACAGATAGTACAAGTCCTCCATTGTTAACCTTTCTTGCATGAAAAAAATTATTATAGCCACAATAAGCATGGAAAAGTTTAAAAATGTGTTTATGTTAGACATTAAGATAAGTAAGACAGTAAGAGATATTTCTTAATATTGTTTTGAAAAATTATTTGAAATTGAGGGATTAGAATGTTTTGTTCAGAAAAATGTCACAAAACATTATTATTTGAGTATTTTAGGGTTATAAATCTTATATAAAGCTATAATTTTTTGATTATAAATTGGTACACTGTTAGAAATTCATACATGTTTAGTTACCATGAACAGGAACCTTTTGTTGAGAAGTTTTTATGTGAAACTTTGGAAGTCATTTCAATAACAAGTGGTACCTTCCTATTTAATTCTCTAACTTATTTATAAATGCTTTTTCCACATACCTGTGCTCCGGGTTCTCCTCGGTCACCCTTTTCACTTTGAGAATCACCAACTGGCCCCTGTAACAAAACCATCATCAGAATATTTTGATAATTGTGGTCACATTTTCCAAATTAAATACATCTTTTATCACTTTTTAATCTTTAAAAAAAGTACAAATATAATGTCATCAATAGGTATTTATACTTAAAGGTCAGAATAAATAGCATAAATATGGGACTCTAAAGAGTAGCATTTAGTAGGTGATGCTGCCTGAATGTCTGGGTTTAAGGGATTTATTCTGGTCACTTACTGTAAACCCCATTGGTCCTGGAAGTCCTCTTGATCCTTTTTCCCCTTTCTCTCCTTTCAAGTCCTATTACACAGAAAGTCAAAATCTAGCATGGTCTCTGGGATGTTTCTGTGCTTACGAAAACATTTATGTGTTACAAATAGGAAAGCCAAACCTTACTAACAAGCTTACTTAAGCATAGATAGTTCTACTTAAATGACTAAAAGAAACAGAAACTTTGCATCAGCAAAGTACATCCCCGATATAATTTTGATGCCAAAAATCAGTTTTTATTCTAGCCCATAACAGAGAAGTTTTGAAAACTCCATGGATTAGATGTAGCTTAAATAAGGAAAACATTCAAAAACAGGTTGAAAAGTTGTTTCAGTTAACATGTGAACATATAAAACCACATATCAAGAACTGCTGTCTAAGTACTACAAAAGGACAAAATGCAAGACTATTAATGCACAAAACATTATTTACAATGAAAGTTGATTCAGAGTATTTCCTTCCTCAAATACTCATTGTTTTTCCAACACTTTCTATGGTTACTCACATTCCAGTAAAAACATGAGAAAACAAACTTTGAAATGTATATGAACAACTTGTAAGCTTTTGTGAAACTCAGTAGCTCAGAATCCTGGTATTTTCAGTGACGAGGCCCAGAGGTCATCACAGTTGTTGCTTTGATGGCCTATCAAAAAACTTGTGTTGATTTGGTGAAGCTATAAGTGATTTACTTTACATGTACTCAGAGATCCACAGCAGATGGGTTACTAATGAGCATTTAACATTCCACTGGAATTGTTCAGATGAGTGTGTGAGTATACAGGGCCTCAGCTGAGCCGAATACACATGCTCTAAGAAGAAATTTGCATCTACCTAAATAAATCTGAAAAAAGTTAGGATGGATGAAAGGAAATGGGTGGATAAAAAACAGTAAGATGGCTTATCTAAATGTCATCTTTGACAATTTTATTACCGTCATGTTGTCTGGACCACTTAATGTCACAATAACGGTTCCTGGTGGTCCAGGGGGTCCAGTTAATCCAGTGTCACCCTTAAAAGAAAGATAAAAATGAAGCAATTATAAGCTGTGTGTTTTTGTCTTTATTTCAAATTACTACTGCTATGCTTTTGACATTGTAAAAACTTTTCAAGCCTTCTCCTAGGTAAGAAATCTAAAAATACATATACTGACATTTTAAAGTATCTAGAATTAGCTTAAAGAGTGTTTTTAATACAATTTTATCTCTAAATTAATTACGATTTCTCTGATAGTTAAAACAATTATCAGTTTTCTCCCAATTTGATTAGATTCAGTTAACAAAAATATATGAAGCACCTTCAGTGACATTCTCAGAAATGCAGTCTGTATACTGTAAGTAGATGATTGTCACATGTTGCTGTCAGGTAAAATTAGCTTTCCTGTACTCAGTGCACTTTTTCACTAGGGATCTTTTAGAACAGGGAAAGTCCTAAATATGATCTTTCCTGCAGAGCTCAACAAAACATTAGCTATGATTGTAAGTGATTTTAAGCCAAGGGAATGTCTCTGCATGCACTTGCAGCATAACAGCAAAGAATGCATCACTCTTTTGTAAGAAAGCAAGATGTTACATGCTCACTTCAGCTAATGCTAATGAATAATAAGTTATGCTTCTAGAGATTTTGCCAGGAAACTTCTAGCATGTCTTTGGTAGTAAACAATTAAAATCAATCCCACTGTCAGATAGTGATGTTTCAGCCCACAACTGAATCTGTGCAGGTCAATTAGCTGAACTGTGAGATGCTCCAAGTTCCTAAAAGGGTGCTATAAGGACACTCAGACTGACTACACTGGCCTTCCAACAGCACCTTGAGGTCCTGAGATAATGTATTTATTCATAGTTATTTCTGTGAATGTAAATTATATAGGATAAAAAGTAAAACAATGAAAGATAAGCCATTCAGTTTTTCCTCAAAATCTGGGACATTTGCTAGCATCATGAGGGCTGACACCAAAGAGATATTGGCCACAGTAAGTCATGAGTCTATATGGTAAGTCATGATTTACCACTGTTTACATGCTTGGATAACTATTTAGGAGTACAGTGAAGATTATATATAAATGAATGTAATGCTATGTATTAGTAAATATTAACTGTTTCTACCCTTCTGTTAGGAAGTTTTTATCTTCAGCTCTTGTGTGAACACAGTTTGTCTTCAGACTGCCATGTTCCAATCTTCCAGTAAAATATTTTCATATATATATATTGAAAACTTTTATTTCACAGTACTTCTCCAGTGTTTCAACATAGTGTATCAGAAACAAACAATGTTTTAAGCATTTTATACATGTACCTTTCTTCCTTTGGTTCCTATTACTTTTATTCCCATAAGACCCTGGAAAAAAAAATGTTATTTTTATTTTAAAATGTATCCATAAAATGAGATAATAGCAAGCTTTCATTTTTATTACCAATCTGAGTCTACCTTAGGTCCAGGAGGTCCTGGTCTCCCTGGCATTCCCTACAAAAAAAAAAAAAAAAAAAAAAAAAAGTAAAAACCATACTGTAAAAATTACAATCTTCAGCACCAATATAGGAGTTTTGGTACCCACTTTTCACCAGAGTTATATTACTTTTTAAAATTTCGTCTTCCACCATTACAACTGCAATTTATTGTCAGTGGAAGTGATAGCAGAATGTCTATATGGTCTGGTTGCAAACATATACTTTGTTATAGTTATTTACATTAGTATTTAGTGTGAGTTTATGGGTAATTATTTGAAAATGAAAATGTAGCTTCTGAAAACATGTAAATCATGTTTTCATGATCATGCATAATAAATATCAAAAGAAAAAGAAAAAAACAGATGGGTGTAGAAAGGTATGGATTTCACATATCCATGTTTCTAAACATCAAGGAAGTCTGGGACAGTCAGGTAATTCTTTTGGTTACTTTGAAAATCAAAAGATTAAAGTAACAAGTGGGACATAAATTCATACTCACTGAAGTTCCTGGAGGGCCCTGTGGCCCATTTTCCCCAGGATATCCTTGAACACCCTGTGCACCCTGCATATTAACAAAATGAAAGAAACAAACCACAACAGGAATAAATATCCTGACAAGATGATGAGTAAACCACTATGCTAAGTTCAATGAACTGAATGAGGAGCAGCCCTGTCTCTTGATTTCCTTTTCATGTCTCAGGATAACACAGAACTACAATTCTTCCCTGCTGCATCATCATTTGGTATATGTTTTGAAACACAACAATACGCACCTGTTCTAAAACTAAACTACTCTAAGGTGTAAGTCCTTTTTAATGCAACCGACATTTTAGTTATCCATTTAGCCCTATTGCTAGCCCTAGTGAGCCTACAATCTTCAGAATATTCTATGCAATAAATTCTATCCTTTAAATCTTCACTTTCAAATAAATGGAAAATGAAAAATGTTGACTATCAGCTTAATTCAACGTCTTCCATTTATTTTAACAGTCAAAAGAAACATCTGTTCTGCCTCCTTCTATTAATCTCATTAAAAAAAAAATATGGATCATATTGTTTTTTGTTAATGCTTCTCTAGAAGTTGAATCAATCTTACTTCCTGGGGAACTCCATTTCTTCTCCATTTCTGAAATATTTTTGCTCATCTGCAACCTGACTTCCTCATCCCACTTTACTAACTATTGACTATACTGACTATTGGTTCTGATGACAAAGTAATTACTATTGTCTTGGAGTACTTTGTCCTGAAAAGTCAGAAGAAAGACTTTTAATATATTGCATTAGTCATATTATAGATATTTTTCTGGTTTAGAAATGAGTAATTGTAAGAATACTAAGAATATATAATATATAATACATCAAGTTATGCGTTATGTGGATATATGTGTATACATACACATACACACATATATATATGCATTTATATCTCTTATGAGATATAAATGAATTAATTCAGAATTACCTGAAGCCCAGGCATTCCTGGCAACCCAGGATCACCTTTTGCATCGTATCTTTGGTTATATCCATCTGCAGGGGACCCCTAGACAATTAGATAAAATGGAAGGGATTAGATAAAATAAAAGGGATATAATCAGTATCAAAACGGTATGATGAAGGCAACTGTCTACTACAGATAGCTCTACCTTCAAAAAAAAGATTTTATTAAACAGAATACACCATTTTCAGGCATTTTAGGCAGTTTTCTGTGTTAGAAGTAGTCTTCATTTCAGACCTACGTACTTCTCTTACACAGTCTTGACCTTTTTCAATTTTTCTGCACTTTTTTTCCCCTTTGACCTACTCTCTATTTCCATATGAATTCATAACCTGTTTGAGGAGAGGCTTAATTCTTTGTGTGTTTGAAAGAGTTAATTCTTTACATGCAACAACGGTAGTTAAGGGAAAGGAAATAAACAAATACACTTTTTTGACTTGGGGTGAGTTAACTCGTAGAGACCATGCATCAAAATCAGTTGTTGCTTCTTATGGAAAGTAAATCTTCTGTTTTCCCTGATATCAAGCATTCCTTTCCATCATCAAGTATAAGTACATAATATTACCAATACATACTTCACATAATATGGTGTAAATAACTGACCTTCTCTCCTTTGATGCCAGTGACACCCTAGGAAGAAGAACAATCATATTATTAAAAGAGAAAAGTAAGCAACAATGATGAAAGGACACTTTCTAAATACTTTCTAAGCTCAATGCTCTTGAAGTGACTTATTTTCATGACCATGGTGTATAGCCAGGCACATGTTTGCTGTGCCAGACTTCAACTGAGGAAGAAAGAACATAATGTCAAAAAGTAGTCCAGTCTCACTGCTGCAATTCTACAAATGAATGTGGAACATTTTTGAGGCCTGATCTTAAAAAAAAAAAAAAAAAAAAAAAATAAGAGAGCTGGTGCAATAAAGATCATGTTTAGAAATTATCAGATCTGAAGCCACAGGAACCTGACAGGTAGCATTCCTTTCCCCATTTGTTGTTTATAAGTTTCTTTTAAAATCACATTCCTACAGAGAAAAAAAAAAAAAAAAAAAAAACAAATCCTAGGGTTAAAACAATGCAGCCATAATCAGAAGTTCCAGGTTTAATTCCTGGTTCTGTCATTAACTTAACTGGGCCATGTCCTCAATGATATTTACACATGAACTGAAACTGGAATCTGTTTAACACATATTGGACACCTTTAAAGATGGAAGTTAAATGTTGACAAGTATGCTCTGAGACACTGAAGAGCAAACACCAGTCAATGAATGTGTGTGCATTCACACCTTAAGAAGTTGAGGCCTGACACTCAGCAGATTAAGCATCACTTTTAACTTTTTTCTCTTTACTGCACTGTTTTCATGCTAATAAAATGGGAGTATTTATATATTTCACCTGTTGTCAATATCAGCTTATCTGAGACTTTACACTCCTTCACTGAGTGGCTGTAAGTGGTAGAAATTCATACAATCACCAATTTCAAAGACACTTACTGGAATGCCTGGAGCACCTCTTCTACCTGGAGGACCTGGAAAACCTTGATCGCCCTGCAAGCAGTAAGAGCAACTGTTAATGCACATTATTGATTATTATTCTGAGTCTAGCAAATGCTACTACAAAAGAAGTTTTTTATATTATCATACTAAAATTATGAGTTGCATTACCACTATATTTACTAAAGAGGCACAGCTTGACCTTAGGGACCTTTACTTTATCACAAAGACCAGCCTCTATTAGTTATGTCAAACCAGTTTCCTGTTTCACTAGAAATGTCTGATTTTCTGTAGTAGGCATTCTTCTAACTCCCTCTTTCAGATTGTTTGAAGCTATGAGCAAAGAAAAATGATTAAACCTGTAACATAATGTTAAATTTTTTCTATTAATTGCCTTCAGGATTTATGAATTGTCAGCTGCAAGCTATGTACTGGTAAAATGAAATTAACTAATTCTCTCAGATGTAACGCATTTCAACAGAAGGATTGGTTAGGAAAAAACTTAGGTCTTCCAGATTTTAAATGAAGAAAAAGGGTTTTCAGTCAAACAGAATACATGTTCAACATGTATTTCATTATCAATCTTACACATAAAGGCAGCATTTATCCATCCTCTGGTGACTGCCAAATTTTTCCTAGTCAATAAAGTCACAAACAAAAACAAATCAAAATGGTTGTTTATTGGGGGAAAAATTAATGCTTTTTCTTCATTCCCACTCACAGCCAAACATAATCCCCACGATATTCAGCTTGGTTTGTACCTTTGTGCCGTTGCATCCTGGAACACCCGAGCGTCCAGGAGGGCCAGCAGCTCCTGGTTCACCCTAAAAGCAAGTGCAAAATTGACACAAGCTTTGTTTTTGCACATTCATATTACCCTACAGCAACACTGAAACAGTTTATGTTGGAGCAGTTTCCATAAGACTTGACAGATTACAATGTGTTCTGAAATCATTACAATGAGTAAGAATTGCTGATGCTATGATTGTTATCTCTAGGTTAACAGACAGTGACAATGCTGATGTTGACACTAGAGTGAGTACACTGGGTTGAGGGTAATTGTGTACTGAAGACTATGTTAAGAGAGAAATCAGATAAATCAGTTTCAATTTTACTTACTGGAAGACCTGGGGGACCTGAAAATCCAGGTATTCCTGGAGCTCCCTAATGATTTAAAAACAGAGGAAGAGTATTGCAAGTATTAAGAAAGAGCTTGTGATGCAGTTTACCTTTTTATCACGTTCACAAGAATAATGAATGTAAGTATAGTTCTGTCAAAAAATCATGGTTTCATTACTTAATCCTTCTGACTGTGCATCAAGTATAATGGTAGCTTATGAACTGTTAAAACAGGCAGGTTTCCCCTGCCAAGAGAAACTCAAAATCAACCCTTTGTGGAATTCAAGTCTGACTTCTTCATCGCATATCCTAATACTAAATACATACAGCATTAAACTTGTGCAGAAGCTGTAGCAAAAAAGGTAAAATTCTAAAGCATAGACAGCGTGTGTACATACTCCATGTCATGATTTTAAAAATATTTTAAAATCATCTGTAATGTTTTATTTTTCACAAATTGCTGATTGAACTATCGAACTACTGATTGAACTATTATTAGCTTTAAACAGAGTATTTAATACATAAAAGCTTCTTTATAACAAAAATACTTACCCGTATACCTTTGGGTCCAACTAAGCCTGTAAGTCCTGGTGAACCCTGGACCAGAAATAGACAACAGCACATTGCAATATAATTGAGAAAACGCACGTATATATCAACAGGACATGCAACATTTTAAAATATCAGTACCAACATACGCACACAAAACTATATGAATAAATACCAGATTTGTCCATTACAGATACTAAAAGAAACAAGCTTTAAATCCAACTTGTATAAATCTTGACATCTTGCCCTCCCTTTCAGTGTTTACAGGGGATAAATCTCATCAGAGGCTAAAAAATAACATTCAGGGTATGTTAAGAAAGCAGTTGCTATGGGTCTGTTCAAACTGTGAGACCTGAAAGGGTTTCTCCATGAGGAAATAGCTGGAAGCCTCTCATCAGTATTCTGGAGAGTTTTTCAGCTCTCAAGCATGAGTGATGTCCATGTAACAATCAGATACATACAGGCACCACTCTACCCTGCATTGTCTTACTTGGAAAGGAAACCCAGGAGCAGGCTGACAGGGAGCTAAGCAGGATGGGAGAGCAGGGCTGAACGGATGGCAGCTGAACACGCCACAGCACTGTCTAGACAGAATCTGCTAGAATTATTTCAAGACACTTAGAGCTTTACTGAGAATAAGAAACAACTTTTGTTTTGCTCAGAAATGAAATGGGGAATGTACAGAAATGCACAGCTCCTTAAATCCTGGGTGACAGTTGCTAATAATGCATAAGACAATGCATCAGATAATTGCAATATGGAAAGCTAACTGGAATACACTGCAACATAAGATATTCAAGCTAACAGTGATGTCCTTGCTAGGTAAATTATTCTTACTTTTCCCCATTCTTGCAGAAGTCATTATCAGTTATAACAGAGGAAATGCTCTACTGAACACTTTTCAATGAGCTTACATAAACACCTCAACAAACATGTATGAGATCTACCATGAGTATCAGTTTAAAGAAATATTGTAATAATGAGACAGGAGAAAATAGTACAGCAACACCTAAACAAATTAAAACTGCAAAGAAACATTTATTTAAAGGTGTGGATAAAGGCTGGAGTCACATTAGTGCAGGTCCTAGATAATAATGTGACTGTGGCACTACTGTCACTCCTTTCTCCTGATTTATGTTGTAGCTGAGTTTAGACCATACTTACAGATAGTTTATTCATCAAAGAGTCATTTCATTAATGACAGCAGAAATGCTGTTCCTCAAGACAAATATAAATGATTTATTTTTTTTTTTAATGAGCAATACTTTATTTTTTTCCTGCTCATTCAGGAGTTACTGAAAATTCATATTCTGCCTGAGTTTTAGCCATATGGGAAAGCCCAACTCGCCAAAGTCACTCTCCCCATACTGCATGTAATTATGACATATGGTATTTCCTAGACAGAGCAAGATTTATCTTAAAAACCATCTCTCCCTTCAACTTTTCTTAAATCTATTTTTAATTATTTGTCTCAGAAGTAGCTTGTTTCCTCTCTTTCTAGCAACAGAAGTCAGAGTATACTTAAGACAAAATTGTGGTTCTGCTACTAAAATCTATTTAGAGCCATGTTTCTTGCCTCTGGAAGGTCAGTCCAGGTGCTTTAGAACTCATTCCTCGACAACTGACCGCAAAAGCCCATGTTTGTATTAACTACTTTCACTTTGTCTAAAATGAATGTTGCAGCTGTTGACCACACATCGCTTACCAAATGGAAGACTCTGAAACAGAGTTCTGTTGTTGTTGTTGTTGCTTTTCGTTTTAAACAGAATTCTTTATCCAGTCATACCTCACTTCCACAGTCAAGCACAGATGTAGTGTTGCTACCCCCGTGCCTCCATGGGAACATACCTTTGGCCCCTGTGGCCCTGGAGGCCCTTCTGGACCGGGAAAGCCTCTATGACCAGGTGGACCTGGGACACCAGGGAAGCCTTTTTCACCCTGTAAACATTAAGAGAAAGAAGTCCTGAGAAAATCCTTGATTCTTTTTTTGATAACTTACTTTTAAGACATTTATTATTTTCAGTACCTCTTAATACTGTGATGGATTATCCTTGCTCATACTGACCTGTTCTCCTGTGTGCTGCCTAGGCCGCATGGTACCACTAACGTAACAAGCTAATTATGAAGGTATCAGAAGACATCAGTACACAAGTTTTCACAGAGCACCAAAGTTAATTAGCAGCATGAAAAGTTTAAGAAAGCAGCTGATACATATTTCTTCTTAATATTCTATACCATGCTTAGCCTCTACAAGAAACACAAATCCAAGTCCACTACAGTACTCCTAATTTGCAACTCGCAAACTTAATAACTGCTGCTGTACAGTAAGGTCGTTCCAAATCATCAGTACTTCTCTCTCTTCATGCAAGCCATGGAAAGAAACAGTGGGAGCAAAATATAGCAAAACTGTACAGATAGAAGAAAAGTAAGTTTGCTTTAAGTCACAACATTGTAACATTATTCTGAGTCTCAAAGATTAAGCCGCCCAATTACTTTTATATATATTTATTTCAAGGTTGAATTCAAATAAGCAAACAATGTAAAGGAGACAGAAAAAATTAAAGTTACACAAATGGAATAAAGGAGACTATGTTACAGTAGGAGGGGCATTTTCTTTTCTTTTTTCTTTTTTAAATTAAATATAATGAACATGCAAGTGTTATCCTGGTTAAAATAAAGTGCTTTGAGCCTAAGAAACTCACATAAAAGGTGTCTAACTCTTTAGATAGCAGCAGTTTAGCATGCTCAGTGTTACATCAGTGAAGAGCTGTCCACTTAAGACAGTTTACAGGACAGCTTGAGATAGGAGAGAGAGGATGGGGTTATTGATTCTCTTGGAGTCAAATTTCCTATTTTCAGAGGAGAGTTACAGAAAAAAAGCAATTGAAATTCTGCTGTGCAGAAGTTATCTTGCTGCTATCTTAGTAGTCAATGTACAAGGTAGGATCCAAAAGAAATCTTGAGGAGCTAAAATATTTTGGCTTGTCCCACCACCAATTTTCACCCCTCAAAATCTCCCAGCCTCACCAGATTTAAAATAATTTCTGAATTAAAAATAAAATAGATAAACACAGAAGATAATCCCAGAACATCTGAACACAACTGCAAGATGAGGCATTATGAAGTGTCTATGAGATCTGTATCATAAACTGGCATAGCTTTTTACAACAAATCAGTTTTTTCATCCGGAGCCATGCCAAGAAAGGCAAAAAGATTAATGCTGTACCGAGATGTGCCACTGGAGGGGGTGTGGAACTAACTCACTGAAGAACGACACAAATCCTTGATTCCTACTGAGCTTGCTAATCCTCACTGCAGCAAGTGGGGGGACTCCCTCCCGCCGCAGAGCAGCCCCGCATTCTCCTGACTGCTTTGCTCATCACCACACAGCACCGGCAGTTTTACCCACAGTGTCTTCTTGACAGGTCAACAAGATCAGATAATTCTCAGGTTGGCGATTTACTCAACATCGAACAGTTACGAAAACTTACTGATGAATAAAATTGTCCTTACTTTCCACAGTTGTATGAAAAACTAGATCAGTGTAAACAATGCTTAACTATTACCTCCACATTTCTCAGTTGATTTACATGGAACTGAAGGTGACAAGTTTCAGGTTTTCACTCACTAATATCTTTCGTTTAGTGGGCATCTTAAGTTACGTTTTTCTTATTTTTCAGTTGGTGTCAATCTGCATGGCTTAGGACAAAGGTCAAACCCACTAAGAACATGAAAAACAAGCACTGAGATTTTTTTTAAAGACGTAGGTATCCTCCTTTACCACATTCAACTATGTTTTAGTAAAGAACATTTACTTTGAGATTACTTCTCTGCACCACTTTAGCTTTCTAAAGGCAAGATTAGTAGTGTTTACTGTGGTGCAACATGAGATACTTTCTTGGCAATAAAAGTCCAGCAGGGAAGTCAAAAGTAGTTCTTTACCAACCAGTTGCATCAAGCTGTGGGACTAATCATAACCGTCAGTCCATATAGACACTGTGGTGTGTGCAGATCTGAAATCTGTTGAAAAGGTTTAGTACAGCAATCACCGTGTCCACGGTTAGCCTGAACTACAACCGTGACTTCTCTAATAATGCCCCTTTCATTTGTGAACCGGTTGTTTTTCCAACTACAAGAAAGAGTTTGAAAGAATTTTTGGCATTTGTGTAATTCAGGTTTGTCTAAAAGCCACACTGAGCCTCTGCCAAGCTACTGCTGGCAACAGGCAGAGCTGCAGCTCTGTTGCTTTCGGTAGACTTGACACTGTTCCCCTGCTCCTGGCAAGGTGTTTGTGATTAGGACCCAGAATCTTGTCCTGTGTCTCGATCTGCGGGACATGCATTGTCTGTTGGATACCAGCACTTTTACTTTTCCTCCAGGAACCAGAAAATGCACAGGGGTCCAGGGGTAGGAGGGAGATGGCAAGGTCCTAACACAGAAAGAGGGAGGCATTGAACATGGCTCTGTTGATGCCACTACGAAGTTTGTAACAGGAGAGCTGCTGATAGTGGTAACTGACAGCAATTGTTAGGAGTTTGTAAAACGTTTGGTGGTTGTTCTGTTGGTATCCAAACATCATGAAACACCATAAACAAACTACTGCATTAAAAAATAAAAAATTATTAGTTAAACAGTGCGTCCAGAGCTACTTTAAAAGACTTTTTTGTAAGGTAATGCATTGCTTTTACAATTCTCCATAGACTTTGTTGACAGAATACTATCACACAAAATATTGACTCGCTAGTTCAACTCAATTACTAACAATTTTCCAGTATAAAATAATCTTAGGAAAAATGTATTTGCTCTTACCTTATTACCTTTCGTGCCATCACAGAAGCAAGGACTTTTACCTTTGCATACACAGCTCTGAAAAATAAAAAGACAAATTCTATAGTAAAACAATTTTTCCCATCATGTTGCTTGGGGAAGGGCAAATGAAAGCCCAATGGTTTTAGTAAGGTAATTATTTTATAGATAGTACAATTTAAAAAAATGTTTACAAAGTGTGGTAATTCTCAACAGAAGAAAATAGCTCATTATTCCTCAGTGCTGTCTTTTGAGACAAGTAAGGTCATTGCTTCCATTTAAAAGTTGGGGTAAAGGCCAAGAAGCTGTGCTTGACAGCATCAGGGTTATAATTTCAGTATGATGTGTGAAATTTAAGAGTTTGGGATCACAGCAGTAAACACTGATGATTCATTTAAAAACTTAATATAAACTTAAGTTAAAAAAAAAAAAAACAACAAACAAAAACACAACAACAAGGATGTTCAGAGTGTAACTGGATAGAAAGCATGACTAAATTATCTAGCTCATGTACCCAACATTGGTTTTAGCAGTGAGCTCAGAAAGGGCTGCAAACCACATCTGAGATACCCTGGTGAGTATGAGAAATGTTAACCCCCCATGCTGTGATCCTGCTACAGCTACCATGCACTCCATACCCAAGCCAACCAAGTCGGGCTGCAAAGGACTTTTTTTACACTCATGGTAGATACGTCCTATTTCAGTGGAGTGGAGGAGAAAAAGCATCAATATTAACATAAATATTGTACATACAAAAGTATTATTAAGGCTACTGAAGCAATATATTCCATACAGATACGGAGTAATGTGCATTTATTGTTCTCATTTGTGTATTTAATTTTTTTCCATTTATTTTTGAAGCTATTGCTGAATGACTTTTTCAACTGTACCCCTGTAGAAAGAAGGTTGTTCTTCAGTTTAACTTCTCATTTCAGTCTATTTGTTTATCACAATTACTTATACTATGGTACAGCTCCAGACAATAGGAAAGGGACAAATATCCTACATTGGCTATGATGGTATTTTCCAGAGTTTCATAAAACTCAGAGAAGAGGGAGGAACTATATTTCCTACAAGATTAAAGCCTTTAATATGGTATGGCATGAAATTTCTATTTAGATGCTGAAGACAGAATTAATTAACCCCTACAGCTGTTCATAATACAACGGCAGCACTGTTCCAAATTTGTAACTTTTCCAGTGGTGTTCTCAAAAAAGCAGAAAGCAAAAGATAGAGAAAACGTTCTCCGTGGCATTTTAAAAGGATGGTGTCAGATTGTCATTAAATTTGAATCTCTCTGTAGCAGTATGTTCAGGTAAAACATTTTACAGCATTGAAAAGCATCTTTTCTTCCCACAAGCTAGCATCGATTTCATCTATCTTTATCAGCCAAAACCAGGGTATCCGGTATCAGGTATCTGCCTTCCTTTCCTACACAGTTGATGGTGTCCATCTCCTTCCCTTGACTCCACACAGGAACCTGACAGCTAGTTTGGAACAACTCATTCCGTCTTTTTAGGTGCCTCTTTTCGGATGAAGGAAGGATGCTGCAGGTATCTGCTGTTTTCTGGGGGCTAGACCATTGCTGGCGGAAGCGATCTGCCTTTTAGGTGAGAACTCCCTCTAGTAGTTTAAAAACAGATGCAGGAAATATTCCTCAAGTGAACAGCTATTTACAAAATAAAGCATAAATCAGAATCCATCAGCCATGAAAAGCAAATCCCCCAAGAAATCTCTGTGGCAATGTGTTCCATGGACAGATTAACAGGCAATTATGTGATGGTTCAGGCGAGGTTTTTAGTGTTGCAAACTTTAATTCTTTAGCAGATTTAAGAAGACCTTCTTCCCTAGATCTGACAGCTAGAGTTTAAGTAGCACTGCATCAGAAATTTGGAAATCAATGTTGTCTTGTAAAACAGAAGAGACATGACTATGCTATCTTTGATATTATTTTCATCAGTATAATTTAATAACCAGAGGCACAAGAATAAACAGGAACTCAGAACTAACAACAAATATTATCCTAATTTCTTCTTGGTGAGGTCTGCAAGTTTGCCACTGGGTATTCTAAATTCACCAATTGAATTATATGACAGGTATCTTAAGCCTTTAAGTATCAGCATAAAAGGATAAATTGATAGACATCTCAAAATAAATTGGGAATGGATTGTTTCCTATTCAATAACATTACCTTCCATCCCAAATAATTCTCTACAAAATAGTACATTTTACTGACACAGTTTTGGTACATGTCTGATAAACAGTAAAAAAAGGGTACCTGCTCATGTTGAGGTGTTCATCACACAATATGATAAAAGCAGTCTTCGCTTGCAGACACCACACTGTGCTGCTGGTGAGTTACTCAAGCTATCACGTTTTTAAGGCTTGCATATGAAAATTTTAAGTTAACTACAAGAGCTGTGAGACCCAGTTACTTTGCAAACTCAATTGCTAATACAAAGATTTAGCTTACAGATTTAGTAGCCACCTCAGCCCAGGAAAGGTGCCATTTAATAGGAAAAAATACTTGAAGCTGTCCAAATTCTCTGGATTTATTCAGAGTACCTGGGAGCACATCTTGCTGAGCAGAGTGAGCTTTTCTGATAAATACTCACAGGCTTCTACATTGCTAGTACTTGCCATCGTAATTCTACAGACCTTAATGGAGTTGTGCCTTATTTCTAACTACAAAAGAAAAAAGCAGATTCTTTAAAGTGTTTGTACGCAAAGCACAGTTTTCAGGACACGCAGAGAAATCACCAAGGGACATGACTCTTCCCTAGTAAGTATAATCTGCAGAAGCCCTGGTATGTACGGATACAGACGAAAATATTACTTTTAATTAATAATCACAGATTAATCCAACGTGAAGTTAAATGCATGAACATGTAAAAACTTATGATGCTACATAACTACTGAAGGTTACTAAGCCATTTGAAGAAAGAGAGCCTTTGTTCTTCAAGATGTCAGAATGCTTCAAATGTGTTTAATTTTCCATTAGTTAGCTTTCAAATCAATTTAGATCTTTTTGTGAACGCATCTCACTTTAAACTAAACTGAAAAGACCAAAGATGATTCTACATTACACAGACAGTTAGTTGGATAACACTAAATGTTTTGGCATATGATTTTTACATAAGATTAGACTATGCCTTCTGTAAAGGAGCTTTGAACCAAAAAGTCATTGCTCACTTACACTACTGATGTTGTCTGGATGTTTCCACAGCCTTGCAAGATGCCTGCAGCTTCTTTATCAAAGGGTCATAATAAAGCAATAGTTTACTGCCAAGTTGTAAGATAGGGAAATTTAATATTAGCTATTAACAGATTATTCAAAATACTCACAATAACAGCTCTGTAAGTGGCTGCGTGTTTTTCAGCTTTGTGAGTTTTCTAATAATCACCTCGTTTTATTTCAAATAACCAGACAGGGAGATGGAACTAGATTTCTGATCCAAAAATCTAGGCTAATGAACAAAGCCAAGCCCTTGTGTGGATAACAAATGAAATAAATTAACCAATGAAGCAAAATTAAAAACAAAAACCATCAAACAAACAAACAAAAAAACCCACAACACTTTCTTGGAGTAACCTAGAAGAGTTCTTTTCAGAGAAGTTTTGAGTGGCAGTGAAGTAGCATGTGCATTTTAAATAATTCCAGCAGTGTACACTGAAGCACCTATTCTGCAGCAGCACATCTTCTGCAGTTTTATTCACTGGGTGACTCCACTATGGGGCCCCTACGATGGTATGTGTAATGCCGAGGTGCCCTTCCCACACTATGGGATTGGGTTCTGTGAGGCTCTGACCTCTTCCTTCCCCCAATTCAGAGACTAATGTAAGTATCTGTTTAAAAAGTGAGTCCTCTCCCTTTACCGAATCCCTCAAAGAAACAACAATGAAAGAAGGAAGAAAAACCATACTAGGACTGCATTGTCACCTAAGCAAAGCTCGATGTGGGTTCAGGAGGGCACCGCAACTCCCAGCACTACAGTCATGGTGGAGCATCAAGGAATGTCACCCAGCTCACAGCAATGTGCCCACAGACCTAGCTACACAGAGGATGTCGGGGAATGTATTTAGGGATATTACCAACCCCTAATGCCTCAAAGGAGATCACAAAGCATCAATGCAAGGAAAAAAAAAAAAAAGCAAACAATAGGCATTTCTACCAAAAGCACAGGCTTTGAGTTCTGTCACTCACATTTGGAGGGTAGTACAGTTAAGGGCAAGAAGATGAGGAACATACAAAAGGAGCCAGAGAGGAGGATGTGCCAGTATTTCTCCACACGTCAGTCCATAAAGACATCTATGACGACAGAGGAGACAGAGCATTTGCTTATTTTTCTAGATCTGGAGAAGAGTATAGTAGGTCAGCCATAATGGTCAGCTACAATTTGAAAATACATTATTTATATATTAAAAGGCACAAACAAATAAACCTGCACAAGGACAGCAAAGATCAGGTATCGTATTCCTTAAGCAGGTTTCAGATGAAGCCTACATCAAAACCACCCAGGCTGAGTAACAAAGACATTCAGATGAAAGGTGAGCTGAAATTAAATGTGTGCTGTAGGAACAAAGTAACCTGGTTGAGTCAGTGCTTAAATTCACACATTTGGCCTGATTGGTCTTTAATTTCATGGGTGAATGCCACTGATTCCAGGGGTAAGTCCTGGTTAACATAAATGAAAGATGACTGTGCAACATGAGGAATTTTAACATGAATTAAGAGCAGTGCAAGTGATATTCATTAATTACAGCAGACAGTAAAAATAACCCAGGTGTCTTCTCTCAAGTGAGTACTGAAGCTGTCACTTGCCTGCACTGCTGGTTCTGGACGCTGATCTGGCTCATTATTAAAAACGCAAGTCTGATTTTTCATTTAAAGTTCATTTTTATTGGCATCTCACCCATCCTGTAATTAGGTCTTTATCTTCTAACTTCAAAGATCACTGAAGTAGAACTCCACTAAAACATGAGACAACTTTTGTTAGACAAGATCTACTTTTCTGTGGTAACTCTTCTTTCCCCCCATCTTTCCGCTCAGTAATGGTATC